GTCTTACTGCGGCTGTCCCGTGTCTTCGCCGTGCCGATCTTTCCACAACCAGTGCAGTGTGGGCTGCCGTGTGGCGTACAGTAGGGGTGCAGTGTGGGTGCAGTGTGGGCTGCAGTGTGGGGTACAGTGTGGGCTGCAGTGTGGGGTACAGTGTAGGTGCAGTGTGAGGTACAGTGTGGGCTGCAGTGGGGTGCAGTGTGTGGTGCAGTTCGGGGTGCAGTGGGGTGCAGTGAGGGTGCAGTGAGGGTGCAGTGGGGTGCAGTGAGGTGCAGTGAGGGTGCAGTGGGGTGCAGCATTGGCTGCAGTATGGGATACAGTGTGGGTACAGTGTGGGCACTCTGAGCACAGGATCAAGGGGTGCTTCTCACCCTCCCCTGCCTGCTCCCCTCCTCTGGGGTAATAATTTAGCAGATCTTATCCAAAATGGACCATTAAATACTACTGCTTTTTAGCTCCTTCTAAACTGTCCGTGTGTATATTTATGTCATGTTCTGGGGACCCTGTGAGGGGGACCTGAGGAACACATGGGCCACATGAAAAGCATGTGTAGAACGAGTTGGGGGCACACGGGGTACTTAGGGGTCATGAAAGTGTCACGGGACTGAACCAGGTCTAACGAGTCAGCAGTTACATCCGAAGACAACTCCAGGATGACTTTATGGAAGGAACTTTATGACTTGGCAGCTCACAAGAACACGCGGGGGTCACTTCGAAGCAGGGCGTCCCGGACAAAGGGCTAGATCATCCTCATTCAGGAAAACCATAAACACCCAGGTGAGCTCCTCATCACAGGGAGAGGCGGGAACATCCCGCACCTGCAGTTAGCAAACACGCCTGCACGTACGTCGCCTGCGCAAACCCGGCGGGAACCTCTGCCCCTGAGGGCAGAACGAGGAACGCTCACAAGGCGGTCGGCACAGGGTCCTCCTGGCTGCGGCAGCCGACCTGGGGGTCTGAGCCAGGTTAGCCCCGAGTTCTGCAAGCCGACCCCTGGGAATCCCTGAGAAGACGGGTCTGGCTATTGTCAGTGTCAGGGATGGCAAAGGCACGCAGGAAACTGAGTCTCAACTGACTGAGTCTCAACGCGTCCTGTTAAATCAGAAAATCCCAGGGTGCAGCTAGCACCCTTATAACAATGAGGGTGCCTACATGGATTTACAGGTTAGTCTAAGCTAGGAATTCTAGCAGAGGTTAGTCCAGCCCTGGCCGGGTGGCTCCGTTAGTTGGAGCATCATCCTATACACCAAAAAAGCTGCAGGTTTGATCCCAGGTCAGGGCAAATTTGGAGGCAACCAGCCAAAGTTCTCTCTCACATCAATGTTTCTCTCTCCCTCCCTCCTTCCTCTTTCTAAGAGCAAATAGATAGATGATAGATTGATAGATTGATAGATTGATAGATTGATAGATAGATAGATAGATAGATAAAAAGTCTATGCTAGGCTACCTGCAAATCTCCCACATGCACCCCAGGTGGTCCTCATATGGCCCCCGTGTGTGTGTGTGTGTGTGTGTGTGTGTGTGTGTGTGTATGTTAGGCTACATGGAGGTACATAAAATTCACAGGGACTTTGAGGGGCATGGTGAGGACAACATAGGGTCTGCATGGTAGGTAAATGGGAACATGGGCCCCTTCTCACGCTCCAGCGCCCCCTCACCCTGCGGGGATATAGGGAGGCCTGTAGGTCTGTAAGGCCATGGGACCTGGCCGGCCCCTTGGTCTAAGAAAGAGAAACTGCTTCTAGACGCGAGCCCGGCTGCAAACAGCTAGTGTTTCCTCTCCCCCGGCTGTGCCCGGCGGTGCCCTGCCCTGCACGCCCTGCTTCTCGTTCTCTGCACCCACAAAGCCCTGCGCTGGCAACGCCCGGGGGCGGCAGAACAATGGTGCCACCGGCCACCCCGTGCTGCCTGTCCACAGGCTGGAGGGGACTCCGTGGGACAATGTCACCGGCCGCCGTGAGCACACAGGCCCGATAACCATGTCCTCACAGACGGGCCTCAGGGTGACAGCTTTGGAACCCACAGTCAGTCTGCCGAGGTCTGCAGGGCCTCAGCGCTGGGCCTGACGGGCGCAGGATTCCTACTGCCCAGTGAGATGGGGTGAGAAGGTGGGGCTTTGGGGCCCTGGCCTGTGGTGTTCAGTGGTTAGCGCACCGGCCAAGCACTGAAGGGTCATGGGTTCAATTCCCAGTTAAGGGCATGTACCTGGGTTGCAGACTCACTCCCTCCCCAGTCACGGACTGGGTGGGAGGCAACTAACTGATATGTCTCTCTCCCCCCGCTCCCTCCCCTTTACTCTCTCTAAAAATCAATGGAAAAAATATCCTTGGGTGAGGATTAGCAAAAAAAAAAAAAAAAAAAGAAGAGTACTCTTACAACCAAACACAAAAAAGGAAAAACAACCCAACTTTATATTTTTTTAATATATGTTTACTGGTTTCAGAGAGGAAGGGTGAGAGAGAGAGACAGAAACATCCTTGAGGAGAGAGAAATAATTGGTTGGTTGCTTCCTGCACGTCCCACATTAGGGACTGAGCCCACCACCCAGGCATGGTCCCTGACTGGGAATCAAACCCTGACCTCCTGGTTCATAGGTCAACATTCAACCACTGAGCCACACCGGCCAGGCCACCCAATATTTTTAAGCGGGCAAAGGAGCCGAATAGACTTTTCTTCAGAGAAAACACACAGGCAGCACGTGAAAGGATGCTCAGCATCACTCGCCTTCTGGGAAATGCAATCCAAACCACAGCGAGCTTCCCGACCGTGAGAACGGCTACCAGCAGACGCACGGCACTCACGGGAGTGGGCGCGGGTGCGGGGAAACGACGCGCACGGAGAGCGTGGCAGCCCAAAAGCTAAACACAGAATGACTCTCTGTTCCGGCCATTCCACTCCTAGGAAGACACACGAAAGCACTGGAGACGGGCAGTCACACAGAATCTTGTCCGGGAGTGCTCCGGCAGCACTCTGACCAGACGGGGTCTTTGGAACCTCGCTGAGCTGGGCCCCGGCCTCGGTCTCCCCTCGGGGGCGGGGGCGTGTTTTCTGAGCACCGCGCTGTGCTGGCCTCTTGCTCCGTGAGCTCACAGCAGCTCTGTGAAGTCTGCCGAGTCCATGGACTCCCTGACGACCTCTGAGGGGCCTCCTCACCCAAGCTCCGGCCCAGAGGCAGGTCTCCAGGCGCTGCCTAGAGCACGTGTGTGAGCCACGTGAGCACCGCCCCTGGCCACACAGGAAAGGGTCCCTCTGGGGGAGGGGGGGTCCCCCAGTCCAGCCACACAGGGGGCCCAGGCCCCACGTGCAGCTGCACGGCTCCCGGGGTATGTTTGGACTCGGTTGGAGCTGAGGATGCCTGTGCCTCCCTTCCGTCCGCACCCCTCCCGCTCCCTGGACACTGAAGATGCATGTGGGTCGTGTTCTGTCCCTGCTGCCAGGACCCGGCTGGGCTGAGGCTCCCCACAAAACCTGGGGGCTCCCCGGGCACACAGAGGGGCCTTTTCCCCTGGATGCCTGGGCATAAGTCTTCATTGCTGCCCAGGCCACAGGGGGGCGCTGGGGAGACACTCAGCACCCGAGAGGGACAGGCCTCCGTTTTATCCTGCTTCTCAAACGTCAGCACCTCTGCCCAAGCTGAACAGCCTAGTCCGGGCCCTCACCCAGCAGAGGGGCCCAGCCCAGCTCAGGCCCAGCAGCCGGGGGGGGGGGGGGGGGGATTGGGGGGGACAGGGTCTTCCTCCTGGGGCCCCTGGAAGGGGCAAGGCTGCAGCACTGGGCCAGGCGTGGAGGTCGCTGGCAGAGGCAGGACACTGTTACAGATTGAATTGTGTTCCCCCAAAATTCATATGTTGGGGTCCTAATCCCCAGTTCATGGGCACGTGGCCTTACAGGGAAATAGGGTCTTTTTATTTATTTATTTTAATCCTCACCCGAGGATATCTTCCCATTGGTTTTGGAAGAGAGTGGGAGAGAGAGAGAAAGAAGAGAAAAATATGGATGTGAGGGAAACACGTCGATTGGTTGCCTCCTGCGCGCTCCCAGACCAGGGCCCGGCTGGGGAGCAGCCTGCAACTGAGGCGCCTGCCCTTAACCGGAATCAAACCCGGGACCTTTCGGTCTGCAGGCCTACACTCTACCCACCAAGCCAAGCTGGCTAGGGTGAAGTAGGGTCTTTTTTATTTTTTTATTTTTTAATAATTCGTTATTGTTGAAAGTGTTATATATGTACGTACACTTTTTAAAAAAATATATTTTATTGACTTTTTACAGAGAGGAAGGGAGAGGGATAGAGACTTAGAAACATCAATGAGAGAGAAACATCGATCAACTGCCTCCTGCACATCCCCCACCAAGGACATGCCCGCAACCAAGGTACACGCCCTTGACCTGAATGGAACCCGGGACCCTTCAGTCCGCAGGCCGACGCTCTATCCACTGAGCCAAACCGGTTAGGGCTATATGTACCCTTTTTCCCCCATTGACCCCTTCCAGCCCGCCCCCACCCCCATCCCAGGCCTTCCCCACCAAAATAGGGTCTTTTTAGATGACCAAGCCAAGATGCAGTCACTGTGACTGTGCTGCTATAAAAAGGGGAATCAGGACAGACACATCCTCAGGAAAACCCCTGTGGGGATCTCCACGCCGAGACACCTCCCGTGGCTGGAGAGAGACCTTCCCTGTGTCCTCCTGGCCCTGCGACCCTGGAGACACATGTCTGTTCTCTGAGCCACCGAGTGTGTGGCCTGCCACGTCCCGCCCCAGAGGCTGCTGCAGGCCGTCTGCCCTGCCCCCTCTCTCCACCAGAGGGCGCCCTGCACAGGCCAGGCCACTGCTGTGCTCACGTCCAGCCGACGGCTGGCCATGCAATCAGCCTCCGGGCCGTGGCCCGTGAGGACAGGAAGGCAGGGTTGGCTCAGCTGGAGCTGGCCTTATTCCAAGAGCCCGGAAAGCCCAGGAGTGGCCAGCCCCCCACCCTGCCCCTTTCTGAGCACCCCCAGCCCCAGCAGCAGCTGTGACAGCTACTACACACCCCTTAACCCCGGTAGGAGAGAGGTCTCCGGAAGGCACAGAAAGAGGATGCTCCGGCTGCTCACAGCATCTCACCTGCGTCCCCTGCGCCCAGGCTGGCCCTTTAAGGGATGAGGTCAGAACAGCCCTCTTCTCGGAGGAGCCTGGATGGAGCCAGAAGCAGAGGGAGGCCCGGGCGGCAGGATGCTGGGTGCACAGCCCCGCCCCACGGGGGCCAAGCTGAGAGGAGGGAGGAGGGGCCTCCTGCCTCCGCAGGTGGTCCAGTGCCAGCCAGGGTCCGCTCCAGAAACTCCAGTCCGTGTTCCCCCAAGTGGACACGCCGCTGCTGGCCGGCTCGGGCTCGGGGCCTCTCAGGACGGCGCCCACTGTCTGCCGAGGACACGCCGAGGGGTCCTCACTCAGCCTGGTCCCCGAGGTCCGGCCCCTGACCTCCGGGCCCGGGGGCCAGGCTCTGCTGGTCGCAGGGAAGCCCGCAGGGCCCAGCGCCCTGCGCGTGTCCTGGGAAAGGCGGGGGGTGGCACCACCCGTAGCAGCCGAGGGCGCAGTAGCCGCTGCTGCCGCCCTCCGGCTCGGGGGGCGCCGGCCGGGCCGGGCTCACGGGCCCCCACTCCTCCTGCGGCAGGTAGGCGGGCGGCTGCTCTGCACACTCCTCCGGGGCTGCGGGCAGCACGTCTGCCGGGAGTCCGGGGCCCGGGCCCTCCTGCTCCAGGCCCGCGGGCGGCCAGGGCTCCGCCGGCTCGAAGACGAGCACCGCGATGGCCTCCCGGGCGCCGGACCCCGGGGCTCCGTGGGCGCTGACACCGCCCGGGCTCGGCTGCGTGCCCGCTCGGTGGGTCCCCGTCCAGGTCTGGAACAGAGCGGGGGCTCAGGGGGCGCCCGACTCACCTGGAGGCAGCCTCCCCGCCTCCTCCAGGAAGCTCCCGACACCCACACCCAGAGGCCAAGCAGCGCCTGTGCCCCAACCTCCCCGTCTCCCCCCACGGGCCAGCCCAGCCTCAGCAGGGGACCCCAAGTTCTTTCAGGCTCCTCCCTCCCCCCCCCCAGGGGCTCACAGCAGCCTGAAACGGCCGGGGAGGAAACCGAGCCAACCTCTGCCTGCTTCTGGCACTTCCAGCCGCACACTCCCACCAACCCCGGAGACTGGAGCCTTTGGGTTGAGGCAGGCAGACCTGCACCCCTTCCTGGGGCCGCGGGAGGCAGCCTTCCCACCCCAAACCCCCACCGCCACCTCCAAAAGCAGGTGCTCCCTGTGGGACCAGGAGACTCCAGCAGACACAGCACACACACCACATCCTGTCACTGCCCTGCCCGGCTCCCCGGCTGCAGACCACCCCCTCCCCCCCAGGGCTCTGTCCCCAGGCAGGTGTCGTGGTTCTATGAGAAGGAGTGGGTGCCTGCAGCCCAGGAGCAATCAAAACCTTCGTCTCACATTGTCTGGAGCTGCCTACGGGGCCTGGTCCGGCCCACTGCCTCGGGGGAAGAGGTGGACTCCCCCAAGGACAAAGGGCTCTGCTTTCAGCTCCAAATGATCCTTTTGGACAACTTGTGCCGGGAGGGGGCCTGGGAAGTCCAGGTCTGAGGACCCAGGAAGCACTGCCTCCGCTCCTTCCCCCAAAGTGGGGAGCCTGAGCAGGTGGGAGCACCTCCTCCCCCACCCGTCCCTCCTATGCCCGGGAGCAGGAGCCTCCAGGCCGCGGGCAGGGGGCAGGTCTGGTCAGCCGGTCATTGCCCTCCGGGCACCCCCCAGGGCACCACAAAGGGGGAGGTGGGGGCCCACTCATTGGCCCAGGTGCCAGTGTGCTACCAGGAAGGGCCAGTCACCTCACGATGGCCACCAGAGAGTGGCCCCGGGGCCAGCGAGGGCCCCAAGGGCAGCTCACACACGGAGACCCTCCCCACGGCCGCCAGCACAGACACCGGGAGGTGAAGGAAGGACCAGGCGGCAGGCAGGCAGCCCGGGATTTGCCTCCAGGGGCTGCTGCGAGCAGAGGACAGACAATGTCATAAGAAAGCCTACATTTTTTCCATCAGTGGTGGAATTCGAGACATGAGAACAAAAAGAAACAGCGATAGAAAATGCAGTTCCTCTTTTTTGCCTGTGTATGAATTTAAATCCACTCCATACACCCAAAAAGCTCACAGCACTGAGCTCCCCCACCCCTCGCCCAGAGCCCACATCCTGAGCCGGCCAGGCCCCTGGGCAACCTCGCCGCCCCCGCCACGCACCTGGAAGTTCCCGTGGTGCACGCTGTAGAGGGGCTGGAAGAAGGGCACGGGGGATGGCACGTCCTGGTGAAGGGTCCTCTTCACCCTGAGCCAGGAGAGTGGTCAGGGGCCTGCCCAGCCCCGGGGAGCGGGGCCCCTGCAGGGAGCTGGGCCATTCCCACCACAGGGGCCAGCTCTGCCCGCCCGTCCGTCCGTCCGTCTGTCCGTGCAGCTGCCACATGCCCTCCGCCACCACAGCCGAGCCTGCTCTCCGAGCCTGCGCCCCCTGGCCTTGTGCCCCTGGCCATGGCACTGATGTATACAGCACATGTGTCCTTTGCAAAGTGTGTTTGATGGTGAGTTTGGGGCTGGGGCAACCAGCTGTGACAGAGGGAGCCAGCTCCTCCAGGAGCCCCAGCTGCCCCGAGCAGGCAGGTGGCACCCCCTTCCCTCCCCACTTCCCTCCCCAGATCTGCCCGGTCTGGGCCCACGGGCCCTCCTGCAAGGTGCAGCACAGAGCCCATCCCAAAAGGTCCAGTCACCTTTACCCGCCTCCCCTGGGACCCGGAGCCTCTGGTTCCCCAGCTCGGGGGTGGCGCCAGGAGTCACAGCTCCGCCCAGGAGTCCCCTCAATTCTTTCTGCGACCCTGGCAATCCCCTCCACTCGGCTCTGTCCTAACTCTCTCCCCACCTCTTGGCTCCAAGGACAAGCCCAGCACCTCCTCTATCTCTCAGCCCCGCCCAGCACCCCCCCGCACCCCTCTTCCTCACACCCAGCCACCCCATTGCTCTCTTGGTCCCCATCCTCTCTCTACACGGCCCACACGGCCAGTCTCCCGTGGGCCCATCCTGGAGGAGGCCCGTGCCCTCCCTGTGCCCTGACAGGTGTGCTGGCCGGTCTCCATCTGTTCCCTGAGGCCGCAAGGCTGAGAGCAGGGTCCCGTGCACACCAGGCGCCCACGCTGTGTGTCCACAGGCTAATGAGGAGCCCAGCGCCCAGCACCTCCTGGGGCTGGAGACAAGGCCCCAGCGGCTTGGACCCGGTGACTGTGGGTCCCTCCTCGGCTCTTCAGGGTCACACACACACACACACACACACACACACACACACTTCACCTGGCAGCTTGGACACTCCCTGACCCATCCAGGGCCTGACGGTGGGAAATGGGGGAGCACAGGGGAGCACCCTTGGTTTGCCCTCCGCACCCCACTGCCACCCGCATGGACACGCGCACACACACCCACATGCACAACCCTGGGGACCGACCTGGGCGACAGCTTGAACAGGAGGTAGGCCACGCTGGTCAGCAGGAGGAAGATGGACATGGCGACCAGGGTGCTGTCTGGCTGCCTCAGCGGTGAGACCAGGCGGCCTGAGAGCAGGAAGGGCCAGAGCTGTGAGCAGCCTCCGCACCAGGAGGTTCCCCCAAACCCACGTGGCAAAGACCCCCCCACCCCCCACCCCTGAGTGCCCGGGCGTGGGAAGCCGCAGTGGCCTGGAGGTCCACGCGATGCTGCTGAAGCGTCTCGGCGACGGTGCACCCGGGCCTCACCCTCCCTTCTGCAGGCCATCGGGCAGGGGGCTCCAGGAGCCCGGCACGCCTCAGGCCTCGGGCTGTCACTGCCGCAGGGACAGTCCCAGAGGGGGGCGGGCAGCAGCCCGAGCGCCCACCTTGTCTGCGGGGAGACGGGAAGCTCACGGGCTGGCTCCACTCGCTCCAGGGGCCCTCGTAGCGCTCCTCCTCCGCCAGGGCGTCCTCCAGGCTGGCCATCTGCACCCGCAGCCGGGCCTCGTAGGTGGAGCCGGGGTCCAGCTCCACGGCCTCCAGGGTGAGCCCGGTCACCCCCACAATGTGGTCCCTGTGCCGGGCCCGCTGGGGGGGGGGGGGACATGAGCAGCTGCTGAGGGTGAGCCTGGGGGACGTGCACATGCACACGGAGGCACACTCACCACACTCGTGTACACCCGGCACACTCACACACGTACGCACGCACACACCACAGGCACACACCTACGCTCCCCTCCCTGCATGCTGGCTCGCACATACACACGCACAAACACGCTCACCACCCTCGCTGCACGCATACACGTAGGCATGCCCTGTGAGCACTCACATATATCATGTTCAGGCATACACAGGCACACTCGTACACAGACATACAAACACGTGCATGCTTGCACACACGTTCTCTTGGCCCCGGTCACCTCCCTTCTCGTCGGCCTCTCCCTGTGTGGAACCAGGAGAGACCGAGGCCCCGGCTGGCCAGCCAGCGTTACCTCCCAGGCCTCCTCCTGCCTCTTGAAGGCCAGCTCGTAGCTAAGCAGCGAGGCCAGCGGCTCCAAGGCAGGGCTGACGCCCCAGGTCAGGACACAGGAGTCCGAGCTGACGTTGCTCTGCAGGTCGGAGGGAGGGTCCAGCTTCACTAGAACAGGATGAGGCACGTGAGTGTGTCAGCCAGCCTGCCCAGGGCTGGGGTCTGAGGGCCCCTGCAGCCCGCACTGGGGGTGTGAGGGCCCTGCAGCCCGCACTGGGGTGTGAGGGCCCTGCAGCCCGCACTGGGGGTCTGAGGGCCCCTGCAGCCCGCACTGGGGGTCTGAGGGGCCCTGCAGCCCGCACTGGGGGTCTGAGGGCCCCTGCAGCCCGCACTGGGGGTGTGAGGGCCCCTGCAGCCTGCACTGGGGTGTGAGGGCCCCTGAGGCTGAACAGGGCTGGGGTCCGACAGGCTCTGGGGTGTGTTCAAGGCCCTCGCAGACCAGGGGCCTCATGGGAGGCTGCTCCAGAGAAGCCCCAGGTGAGACACACAGCAATGGCTCCTCCAGCCCCTGCAGCCAGACAAGGCGACTCGTGGCAGGCTTCCCTGTCCCTCAGGAGCTGTGCCATGGGGCTCCTTCCTCTGTGACTGACGTGCATTTCGAGCTGCAGCCCAGGACCAACTCGAAGCTCTGGTCTTCACCGTCCTTTGGAACCCCTCCCCTCCCGGGCCCATCTCCCAGCCCCGGGTTTGAGGGGGGAAGGGGGACCTCTGGCAGGGCCAGGGGCACTCAGGGGGCACGGGATTCCCGCCGCAGGGCCCTGCCCCCAGCAGCCGGGCAGCCCGGATGCTCCCGGCCGCGGCGGCCACGGTGCCCACCCCAGGCCTCACCATGTCTCCGGGGCAGGTACTGGGGGTCCACCAGGCTGACCTGCTCCTCCCCGGCCACACGCCGGTGCAGGGTGATGGTGAAGTTGTCGGAGGGCGCGATGACCTCCTCAGGCGGCAGAACCACGGTGCAGGCGCTGCCCCGGAACACACACCGGTGCCGGCTGCCCGGCGCGTGGTTGCTAGGGAGGGAGTGCGTCAGCCCCCAGGCGCCGCCTGACCCTGCTGCTGCCACGGCGACCCCGCCCTCACCCCCCCCCCGCCCTCACCCCCGCCCTCACCCCGCCCTCACCCCGCCCTCACCCGGCCCTCACCCCGCCCTCACCCGCCCTCACCCGGCCCTCACCCTCCCCTCACCCGCCCTCACCCCGCCCCCACCCTCCCCTCACCCTCCCCTCACCCCGCCCTCACCCGCCCTCACCCCGCCCTCACCCTCCCCTCACCCTCCCCCTCACCCCGCCCTCACCCGCCCTCACCCCTGCCCTCACCCTCACCCTCACCCCGCCTCACCCTGCCCTCACCCCTCCCTCACCCCCGCACTCACCCACACCCACCCACCCCCCCCCCCTCCTCACCCTGCCCTCACCCCGCCCTCACCACCCGCCCTCACCCACCCCCCTCACCCCCGCCCTCACCCCTGCCTCACCCCTGCCCTCACCCCGCCCTCACCCCCCCCCCACCCCCGCCCCCACCCCCCCCCCCACCCCCCCCACCCCCCCCCCCCCCTCACCCCCCCCCCCCCCTCACCCTCACCCTCACCTCACCCTCACCCTCACCCTCACCCCGCCCTCACCCACCCCCCCCACCCCGCCCTCACCCTGCCCTCACCCTGCCCTCACCCGCCCTCACCCCCGCCCTCACCCCACCCTCACCCCCTCACCCCCCACCCCCCCCCCCCCCCCCCCCCTCCCCTCACCCTCCCCTCACCCTCACCCTCACCCCCCCCTCACCCTCCCCCTCACCCCCCCCTCACCCTCACCCTCACCCCCCCTCCTCACCCCCACCCCCACCCCCCCTCACCCCCCCCCCCACCCCCCCCCCCCCCCCCCCTCACCCCCCCCTCACCCCCGCCTCACCCCCCGCCCCACCCCGCCCTCACCCCCGCCCTCACCCCCGCCCTCACCCCGCCCTCACCCCCCCCCCTCACCCTGCCCCTCACCCTCCCCTCACCCCCGCCCCGCACCCCCCCTCACCCGCCCCTCACCCTCCCCTCACCCTCCCCTCACCCCCCCCTCACCTCACCCTCACCCCCGCCCTCACCCTCCCCCTCACCCCACCCTCACCCCGCCCTCACCCCGCCCTCACCCCGCCCTCCCCCTCACCCTCACCCTCACCCTCCCCTCACCCCGCCCCTCCCCCCGCCCTCCCCCCCCCTCACCCCCCCCTCACCCCCCCCTCACCCCACCCCCCTCACCCCGCCCTCACCCCCCTCTCACCCTCCCCTCACCCCGCCTCACCCTCCCTCACCCCGCCCTCACCCTCCCCCTCACCCTCCCCCTCATCCCACCCTCACCCTCACCCTCACCCCGCCCTCTCCCCGGCCCTCACCCGCCCTCACCCCGACACCCCACCCTCCCCTCATCTGTCCTCACTCTGCCCTCACCCGGCCCTCACCCCGCCCTCACCCCGTCCTCACTCTGCCCTCACCCTGCCCTCACCCTGCCCTCACCCCCACCCTCACCCCGCCCTCTCCCCGCCCTCACCCCCCTCCCCCTCCCCCTCATCCCACCCTCACCCTCACCCTCACCCCGCCCTCTCCCCGCCCTCACCCCGCCCTCACCCCGACACCCCACCCTCCCCTCATCTGTCCTCACTCTGCCCTCACCCGGCCCTCACCCCGTCCTCACTCTGCCCTCACCCGGCCCTCACCCCGCCCTCACCCCGTCCTCACTCTGCCCTCACCCTGCCCTCACCCCGCCCTCACCCCGTCCTCACTCTGCCCTCACCCTGCCCTCACCCCGCCCTCACCCCGTCCTCACTCTGCCCTCACCCCGCCCTCACCCCGCCCTCACCCCGCCCTCACCCTGCCCTCTGCCCGGGTGCCCTGGCCCGCACCCTCACCTGGTGAAGAGGAGCCAGGGGCTGGGGCCCGGGCCCGGCTCCGGGGCCGGCCAGTGGCAGTCAATCCTGAGGATGTTGTTGGTGAGGCAGGTGACAGCTCGGGCGCCCAGCCCCGGGAGCGGTGGCCGCTGGGAGCCCGCCGAGGCTGCTGCGGGCAGGGGGGGGGAGGGGAGAGGAGGCTCCGGAAGCTGACCCCCCGACAGGGCGGTCCCCAAAGAAGGACGGCAGGAGACTTCACCGGGGCAGGGCTGGGAGGTCCGGATGGCCATGCTCGGGCCCATGGCAGTGGGTGGGCCTGGAGTCCAGGCTGGCGCCCAGAGGGCAGGTCCTAGCACAGTCCGACCACATCCTCCCCGGGGAGTGGGACAGGCACCCTGCCCCGCAGCGCCTCCCCCCCCCACCTCACTGTGCCCTCACTGTGCCCTCACCGCCTCCTTCTCTGGGCACCAAGACGCCCACGCCGACACAGATGCAGACCAGGAGCCGGGCGCCCATCCCTCACGTCCAAGGTCCAGCCTGCAAGGGATGCCACCCATGAGTCCCGCCTGTGAGGAGTGCCCCCCACCGTGCTCCCAATGGCTCCCGCCTCACACTCACGTGTCCTGGGGGCACGATCGGGCACCCCCGTCCCAGCCACACCGACAGGCCACCGGGCTGAGGCTCGGGCGGCCTGACAAGGACTCGAGGCTGCAGCAGACAGGAGGGGAGCCTCCCGCTCAGCCTGGAAGGCTCCTCCCTGGGACCACTGTCCTCTGCCAGCCCCGGCCCCGGCCCCGGCCCCGGCCCCGGCCCTGGCCCTGGCCCTGGCCCTTCCTGAGCTCGGTGGGGCCATGCCTGGCGGACTGTGTGACATGCATTACCCACTGGAATTCCCACCCGGCCAACTTCTCCCAGGCCCCTCTCCCTGCATCCCCTTCCCTGAGGCCTGTCCCAGCGCCCGCTGCAGGGGGCGGAGGATGGCCGTGAGGTGTCCATGCAACAGCAGGCACTTCCTAAGCTCTGTTTCACCCCCGTTCAGAGGTGCTAGCCCACGGCCCCGGGCCCCTGGGCGAGCAGAGGTGAGCGGAGACCGGGCCTGGGCGTGAGGCGTCCCCGGTGCCATGCAGGGAAGCCGCTGGTACCCTATCACCCCGTTTGCAGCTCCTGATGGCGCCCTGATAGCCCTGGGCAGGAAGCAGGGTCCGCCTGGTTATGCAAGCCTGATGGACGATAAGGAGGCCGAGATGCTGCAGACGCAGCCGACCTCAGCACACAGGCTCCAGGAAGCAGACGCCGCTCCAGCGCCTCCCCGGCCCCGCAGACTATCTCCGTACCCGCAGGCCAGACCCGCTCAGATCAGGAAGCCCTCACCCTTCCCCAGAACCAGCGCTGCCGGCACTCCTAGCCACAGCAATCGATCAATCGATCTCGATCGTCTGCAGCATCTGTCCCTCCCGCTCAGTCACAGGTGGAGCCGCTGACCACAGCGCACTCTCGGGGCGTGTGAAGACGGGATCAGAGTGAGCACCAGGCCCCGGGGAGCTCGGGCCCAGCAGGCCTCAGTGCCCAGGGTGCAGGGATACCTCCATCTGTGCAGACCAGGCCGGCCCGGCTCAGGCTGACCCAGGAGCCAGTGGCTCAAGAGCATGGAGTACGGTGGCTCCAAGCTCAGCAGGCCTGGGGAGGGGTGGAGGGTTGGGGGGATCATCAAGGGGGGCGGTCCTTGCTTTTCCTTGGCAGAGAACACCTCTGTCTATACCTAGAGAGCTGGGTATAGCGCGGTCACCACCCTCCCACAGATGTGGAGACTGAGGCACCTGCCCAATCCTGGGCACCTGGCACCTCCGTTCTCGGCTCCCATACAAGCCTGTGAGCTCACAGGGTGCCACTGGTCTCTCCTTCGGGGCTCCTCGGCGAGAGGCGGGGCCACCCCCACCCTCCACAACGGAAACCCCGCCTGCTCACTGCCGGGCCCTGCAGGGGGCATTGCGATGACACCGCGAGGCCCGGTCACATCTCAGGGATGGCTGTAGAGCAGCAGCAGAAGTTCCCTCGGACAGAGATGCTCCCTAAGACCTCTAGTCACGGGGAGCCCCTCCCCATAGAGCCCCCTCTCCTCCATGGCCCGGGTCAAGGTCAGCTTGCCTGCCATGGTTTCCCGGCCCATCCCAAAGTCACGGGCTGGATCCCTGCCTCAGACCCACAGACTCCACAGGACCGGGGTCGGGTCTCCAGAGCACCCAGCCTCTCCCCTCCCTGGCCCAGCCGAAGCAGGCAGGCTGGGGCTGGCGGGAATCCGGGGTCCTTGGTGGCTTCCCGCACCCCCTCCAAGTCGGCTTCACGCCAGTCACTGCGCCCACTTACTGCCCCTTTGACACGGTGTCTGCTTTATAATTTTCACAGAGAGAGGGTGATATCTCTGTAACTCTCCCTGGCAGACAGAGGGGTGAGGTGGGAGCTTCTAATTAAACGAGCACTTGTCGCCGAAACCGGTTTGGCTCAGTGGATAGAGCATCGGCCTGCAGACTGAAGGGTCCCGGGTTCGATTCCGGTCAAGGGCATGTACCTTGGTTGCGGGCACATCCCCAGTAGGGGGTGTGCAAGAGGCAACTGATTGATGATTCTCTCTCATCAATGTTTCTGACTCTCTATCCCTCTCTCTTCCTCTCTGTGAAAAATCAATAAAATATATTTTTTTAAATAAGTAAATAAATAAAAATAAGCAGGCACTTGTCTTCTGCCTTCTCCCTGCCCTTCCTGCTTGGGAGGAGGAATAAATTCAGGCCCAAAAGAAACGCGCCCCCCCCCCCCCACACCAAACTGCTGTAGCCTGGGAGCGTGGGGACTGTGCTAGGAAATGGGCCAGAAATGAGCAGAGACCCCAACTCCCCCTTTGGGTCACCCAGGCACATATGGGCTCCATCCCCACCCCTGCTGGCCCCAACTGGACTGATGGCCCCAATGGCACCGATGGGACCCGATGCTGCTGGGCAGAAGCTGCCCAGGGTGCTGTGCTTCCTGTGGGTGCTCAGTGGGTGGGAGGGCAGGGCGCAGGAGAGGTCAGGCCGCTGGGGGAGTCCAGAGGAGGGGTGGGTGGCCCCAGGACCACCGACCACATCCTTCCTGAGAATGGCAAGTGGGAGGGCACTCCATCAGGGTGCGTGTCTGGGGACATGGACACACCGGGCATCCCCAGAGCTAGTCCCCACGCCCCCAGGCTCCAGGAGCCATGGGACAGGTAAGGGCTGGGCCCACCGGGCCTCCGGTGGATAAGGGCGCACACAGAGGGCGGGACTCAGGGCAGCGGGGGAGAGGGGGAGAGGCTGAGGATGGAGTCAGAGGGGCAGAGGGAACCTCGGGAGCTCACGTGGGCCCTGCTGCTCTGCTCTCCAACCCTGGCTCCCTGCGGGCCTGCTCACACGGACCCCCTGCCTGGCCTCCTTCCCCGTCACAGGCCTCTTCCTCCAGGAAGCCCTCCCTGAGCACCCCAGCCCGTCTCCCCAGCAGACAACGGGAGCAGAAAGCAGGCGGAAGCCACGGATCTGGGCTAGCATAAGGCTGCTCACACAGTTCTCTTTGGGGGGCTTGGAGGTTAAATGGGGAGAGATAACACCCCTCCCCCGCCGGCACCTTCCCCAGCGGCCCTCGCTGCTCTGGGCAGCACCCCCACATCAGGTGAGAACCTGTCTGGTTTATGTTGTGCCCCCTGTACCCACCCCAAATGTTCAAGAAACGCACCCGAGACCCCCTGCAGAAGCTGCCCTGCTTCCACCTGGTGCGAATGCAGTGGGCTCCCGGGAAGGTGCTCGGGGCTTTATAGATCAAGAGCGTTGCTCCCTTCCTCTGCTCAGCTGAACAACCCTCTGCAACCCCACGCCCACCCCCACCGCGGCCCCTCCCTCAGCTCTAAGGGGGCTATCCCCAGACGCCCCGCTCCTCTCCGCCCTGAAGCCCCCAAAGGCATGAGGACTTGGGCACTGCTGGGACCGTCCCCTGCAATGCCCACTCACCCCCACTCATGCCCCCAAAGGCTGGCTCAGCCACCGAGGGAGCAGAGCCTCTTCCACAGAAACTACCTGACACACACAGTGCCTTCCCTCTGCCCAGCGGCCCCCAAGACCCCGCAGGCTTGGGCGTGGCAGGCGGCCAGCTGCGGCCAGCAGTGCCACTCTGCCGTCCCTGGAGGTGCCCGAGCCGAGGACACCAAAGGAGGTAGGACGAGGGGGTGCTCCCGGGCACCCCAATTCCAGGTCCCTGTCCGGGGACAGCGGCTGCAGGCCCTCCCCGTGTCTGAGTTCAGGCTGACACGAGTGGGTGGGAAGTTCCCGTTACACACTCACCTTCCCAGACGCAGCTGCCGGGTCCCATGGCCAGGACAGTCCCTGCGCCGGCGGCAAAGCCCCTCGGCCTGATCCCGGAGATAAGCGCACGGTGACGTGGCCTCGCGCGGCTGACACGGGCCGCCCACACCTAAACCACGGGCGCGGTGAAGCGGCCGCCCTGGAAGGGGGTGGGGGTGACTGTCATCACGAGTCACAAGCCCAGGAATTAGGAGGTGAGGCCACTTTGATTCCCTGTGGTGCTGAAGGTTCCCTGGGGACTCTGGTGCCTGGCCCACTGACGGGTGGGTGAGCGCCTGCTGTATCGCCCCAAGGGACGCCCCTGGGTGCATTACATGGGTCCCAGGAGGCGAGGACCGTGGCCAGGCACCGGGCAGCGGCTGGTCCCCTCCCAGGCTTTTCTGGGACCAGAGGTGCAGACTGCTCTCCAGCAAGGCCATCTGGGAGCCATGGGGATGGAGAGGGCGGGAACATAAGAGGGGCAGTGTCCCTTAAAGGAAACGGCACAGAAAGGCCTTTTACCTCACCCCAGAGGCAGCCCTTGTGAGAAGGCAGGCACAGTCCCGCCAGACATTGCTAAGCTCAGATGCACATTTTTTAAAATGTTCTTTTATTGATTTCAGAGAGGAAGAGAAACATCAGTGATGAGAAACATCAATCAACTGCCTCCTGCACGGCCCGTACTGGGGACTGAGCCTGCAATCTAGGCATGTGCCCTTGACCAGAATCAAACCCGGGACCCTTCAGTCCACAGGCTGATGCTCTATCCACTGAGCCACACCAGCTGGGGCTCAGGTGCACATTCTTAATGGGCTCAGACTGTTCTCTGAGCTTTGCAGCCTCCTTTTCCTCTGGCAGTCTTCAACACTGTCCAGGTCAGCACAAAAGCACGCCTTGTGCCTTTAACGGTAGTACATGCTATGGTTTCATAATCCCGCCAATGGCTGTTTCGTTGTTGCCTATGTATGCTGTTTGAATTTTCATTGAGATATAACTTACCTATAACATTCTATTAGTTTCATGTCATAGATGCTATTCTAAATGAAGGTAGTGAACAATTCTGGGCATGGGTCTTTAATCACCAGAATGAGTACTTCTGCACAAAAAAAATGGCTGTGGTAGAATTGTGAGTCTAAGGTTCAGCATTTTTTATTTTTTATTTTTTTTAAATATATTTTATTGATTTTGTACAGAGAGGGAGAGAGATAGAGAGTTAGAAACATCGATGAGAGAGAGTCATCGATCAGCTGCCTCTTGCACACCCCCTACTGGGGATATGCCCACAACCAAGGTACATGCCCTTGACTGGAATCGAACCCGGGACCTTTCAGTCCCCAAGCCGACGCTCTATCCATTGAGCCAAACCAGTCCCGGCAGGTTCAGCATTTTTAAAAAATCTACAGCTACCGCTCTGGCTGGTATGACTCGGTTGGAGCATCATCCCATACACCAGGAGTCCGTGGGTTCGATTCCCAATCAGGGCACATATCCAGGGTGCGTGTTCAATCCCCTAGTCGGGATGCATTCAGGAGGCAACCATCTCTCTCACATCAATGTTTTTCTCTCTCTCTCTCATCTCCCTTCATCCCTCTCTAAAGTCAATTTTTTAAAAATAAACCTCACCATCAACAAAAAATCCATAGATACTGCCACGAGGCCCTCCAAAAATGTACCAACTTCTACTCCCGCCAGAATGTGAGAATGCCTGTGACCCTCACCAACAGCCTAGTCATTATCAGTGTTTTTTATCTTTGACAATCTGATAGGCAACGATATTTAGTGTTGTTTTTCTGCACTTGGTTGTTGGTGAAGATAAGCATCTTTTCACATACTGACTGGCTGCGTGTTCCGTTCCGTACCAAATAAGTCACATTTCAGTGTGTGCACATGCCGTCTGTGAGAGTGCCTGTGTGAGCACACGTCTGTGCATGTGTGTGCAGGTTCTGTGCGCCAGAACTTCTTGGGCAAAGCCTTGGTACCTCAGAGCTGCAGCTCTCTGGAGTCTGAAGTACCAGGACCGGACTCACAGGCTCAAGCCCAGGAAACACATTATGCATGGTCAGGGACATAGTCACATTTCCAATATTTACATTTCTTATTTTATTTATATTTATTGATTTTGAGAGACATCAGTTTGTTTTTCTGCTTATTTATGCATTCACTGATTGACTCTTATATGTGCCATGACTAGGAATCGAACCTGCAACCTTGGCATATCAGGACAATGCTCTATCCAACTGAGCTTCCTGGCCAGGGCACTAATATTTATATTTCAATCAGCTTGGTCCCCATTTTACCTATTACAAGGACATACTTTTATACTCACTAGAGCCATCCCTGTGCTAGCATCTTTATCATGAGAGCTTCCTTTTGCCTGTCTGTCAGGGTCTCCCTCCACCTTGCTGAAGCTAGAATTTGCTGCCTTAAAACCAACAGACCACACCGCCTGTAACTGGTTTAGTCCTAAGTATAGTAATTAATTTTGGGATCATGATTTGTGGTTTGACATCTACTTCTTAAGTCATTTAAAACACTGAGAAGGCAATATTAAACTTTTCATTTTAATTAAGTATTCAGGATAAATTTTGATAGATAAGTTTGCACTTAACAGTTAAATATTTAGGAACAATTAATGTACTAATTTAGTTTTACTTTATTAGTTATGCATACAATATAAATATTTAAGAGTGTGGGTTAATGGGAAAAGAATGTCAATTGCCCAATAAATGTGAAAGATGAATGAACAGGACCTTAAACAGAGTATAATTAGTTGTGGACAATCTTGCCCACACACAAACTCCCCCTGGACATTAATGAGTTCAGCCACTGATTTGGCAGGCAGGCTATCCATTTCTCCACGCCAGCAAAGGCCCTCGGGACACAAGTGCCTTCTCCCAGCTGGGAACCCCCTGGGGAAAACAGACACCGCACCGCTGGCAGCCTGGCCTAGTCCCTCCAGCGGTGTCCGCACTGCGCGTTGCAGCACTTGTAGAAGGTGGTCATGGGCTCGTCGGCAGAGCGGGTCTGCAGCTGCATGAAATAGGCGCGAGGATGCTCACATTTGGGACACGGCTCTAGAAACAGGAAAAATAAACAAGAGACCCGCATTAAAAAATGTCTGAGACCAACACACCTGCTGGAGGGAGGTGTGAGGCGGAAGGCAGCAAAGACCTTCCTCGCTTATCTGGTGTCCCTGTGCCCTGATAGGAGGTACAAACAGGGGTCTCGTCTCGTTCCCAATGTGCCTCCCGCTGAGGGAATCCAGGAGTTTGAAAACACTCCTCCTCCCCTCCCTGGACCCCACTCTTCCTCTCAAATCTAGCTTAAGGCTGGTTGGAAACCACACAAAAAGTGACTTATGGCTGTTGTGTGAACGACAGGGTCCACACCTGCAGATGCCGCCTCAGAAGTGCATCTCCACCAGCTGGGCAACAGACAAGCCCTCTCAGTCTCCCAGAGGATACCCCTGGGTGACAATCCACTTCCTCTTGTATTGAGAGATCCATCTTGGCAGTTAGTATGTCAGCTGTTCTTACTGAGATCTCACCCTCAGTCCACACCTTGTCAGAGTGCACCAAGACATGTCTTTACCTTCAGTGATCTCACTTTGAGAAACCAACCCCGCTCTTGATGAAAATACCTCCAAACACTCTCAAACCACCATTCTGAACATTTGATACATAACTCATCCTTTTTTTTATTAATATATTGGGTCTAGTAATAATTAATGTCGTTTTTAAACATTCGTTTAAAATCTTGCTTGGCGTTGACTTGTATTGACATAACCTTCAAACACGTGGTATCTACAGAACGTGTGAAGTGCAATTAACAAGTTTTGCTTGAAAAAGTTTGTGTTTGGTTTGGTTTTTGTTGCAAAACTAGGGCTAAGAAGATGGCGGATGAAGAGCATATTTGGCACTGCATGCTTTACGAGTTCCAATTAGGAAGAAAAGCAAGTGAGGCTGCAAAAAACATCTGTAGTGCTCTTGGTCAAGATGCAGTTAGCGCCAGAAAATGCCAGCATTGGTTTGAGAAATTTCGCGAGGGAAATTTTTCGTTAGATGACAAGAGTGGTCGAGGCCGTGTGTCCAATTTTGATCAAGAAGCTCTTCAAGCTCTTTTGGTGCAAAATCCTCAAATTACCCAACAAGAGCTTGCGACAACTTTAAATTGTTCACAAAAAACAATTTCCAATCAATTGCGTGCACTTGGCAAAGTCCAAAAGTTTGGAAAATGGGTTCCTCATGAGTTGACCGACAACAACCGTAATCAAAGAGTCACAATTTGCAGTTCGCTCCTCTCTCGTCAAAACCGTTTGCCGTTTTTAGAGCAAATTGTTACCGGAGATGAAGAATGGGTGCTGTATGTTAATTTGAAAAGGCGGCCTCAATGGTTAGACAAAAATGAGGCTCCGCAGCCCACGCCAAAACCTGATTTGCATGTGAAAAAAGTGATGTTGTGTGTTTGGTGGAATTTTAAAGGAATTCTTCATTATGAACTTTTATCATCTAACCAAACCATTACAAGTGCAGTGTATAGTGCCCAATTGGAAAGGTTAGCCCAAGCTTTAAGAGAAAAAGAACCCACGCTGATTAATCGGAAGGGCATAATTCTTTACCACGATAACGCTCGGCCGCATACTGCAAGAATCACTGCTGAAAAACTGCGCCAGTTGGAATGGGAAGTTCTCCCTCAACCTGCATATTCTCCTGATATTGCCCCTTCCGATTACCATTTGTTTCGTTCTTTGCAAAACTTTCTTCTTGGAAAAAAATTTAATAATGAAGAATGCCTCAAAAATGCATTGACCGAATTTTTTGCATCAAAATCACAAGAATTTTACAACAGAGGGATTAAAATGCTTCCTGAGCGTTGGGCACAAGTAGTAGAAAACAACAGCAACTATATTGTTGATTAAATTTTGTTGTATTGTTTAAATAAATTCGATTTAAAAAAGTATTAGAAAACGACATTAATTATTACTAGACCTAATATTTTTATTGATTTCAGAGAGGAAGGGAAAGGAAGCGATAAAAAACATCAATGATGAGAGTGAATCATTGATTGGCTGACTCCTGCACGCCCCCAACTGGGGACTGAGCCCGCAACCTGGGTATGAGTCCTTGATGGAAATCGAACCCAGGACCCTTCAGTCCACAGGCCAACGCTCTATCCACTAAGCCAAACCAGCTAGGGCTATAATCTATTCTTTAATGGCAAATTCTACCATTGCTAAATTTTTAGCAGATTTGGATGATCGTTTGTCTATAAGGGAAAGAGAGAGTACTAATCATGGCTTAGCTCTTCCTCCTATCAATATTGCTGTGTCTAAGGCTCTCTGTCCTTCTTCAGTCACATCCACCTCTATCAGAAATAAACCAACACTTGGAGTAAACACTTATTTTGCTGAGACTGTAGTTTAATGCTCTCTGGTATTAACTTTTAAAACTCTGCATTAGAACAAAAAGAGTATTTTTTTTCCCCTTAGACTGATTTTTATTCCTCCTGTCATTGTTGCTATCAAAGCTACCACATGTTCAGTGCCCGTTATGTGCCAATCACTGCATAATTCACTTTGTGCTCTCACAATTTGTGAGTATAAATTAGCTCCAGAGGGGTCAAGGGACCCAAGGCCGTAAAACAGTAAGAAGTCACCCTGCGTCTCTAACTCGGGTCTGTGTGACTCCGAGGCTTATGCCAATCTTATCTGTGCAACAAAGTAAGTGATTAAAAAAGCAAATGCGCTTTCTCTCTTTAGAAGCCCACCTCAGACAAGCAGGCACGGGTTCTGACACGGAGCAGCAGTCCGCAGCCTCAGACTCAGACTTAGCCACAGCTCAGTGAGGCACAAGGCCTCCCTCTCACCTGCAGTGGAGTCCACGTTCTCCCAGGCCGCCGCTCCGCCCAGCACGTCATCCACTTCTTTCAGCTTTGGATACTTCCGATTTGTTACCTGCAAACAACAGCAAGCCTTCAACTCTCCGGGTCAGTGGACAGCACAGATCTGGGCCATCAAACCAAACCGCCACACCCGCCCGAGGCGTCTCTCTCCCCGGACATCCCTCCTTCGACAGCCTGGCGAGATGCTAAATGTGAAGACCTAGTGGACTTGAGGCCCTGACAACGGTGCCAGGTGTCGGGAGAGCCGCCAAGAGGCTGGAGTTGCTGGGGCCAAGCAGCACCTCAGCGCATGAAATCAGAGGAGCAAGGCTTGAGAGAGAGTTCGGTGCCAGCTTTTACTCTTGCGCTGGGGACTGCCTGCCTACCCCAGTGGTCGGCAAACTGCGGCTCGCCAGCCACATGGGGCTCTTTGGCCCCTTGAGTGTGGCTCTTCCACAAAATACCACGGTCTGGGCGATTCTATGTTGAAGAAGTGGTGTTAGAAGAAGTCTAAGTTTAAAAAATTTGGCTCTCAACAGAAATTTTAATCGTTGTACTGCTGATATTTGACTCGGTTGACTAATGAGTTTGCCCACCACTGGCCTGGGGTTCTGAACACGGGCGGACTCCTCTGGCTTGGGCGCTAACGGGGCGGCCTGGCCGCCGTTGTGACCACAGCGAAGGGGGCACCTGTGTGAGCACGGAGCCCGAGGGGAGGTCATGGCGATAACCTGGGGTGATGGCACAGGGGAGGGGCCAACGGCCGGATTCTAGGGGGACTCCAAGGTAGAGACGACAGGAAGCAGCTGACAGAACGGGCAGGTGGAGGCGGACCCGGGACGGGGGGCGTGGAGCGCCACGGGAAGCCTGCAAGAGACGCGCGGGCCTCGCCGGGCTCCGGACCCACCTTGCGGGTGATGTTGTGCACGTAGGGGCAGGTGTTGCAGGCGAAACGGTGGCAGCGCTGTCCCTCCTCCACGATGAGCCCGTTCCCGCAGCCGGGACAGAAGAGCAGCATGACCGCCGCCCAGCAGGCTCCCGCAGCCCTGCGGCTCCGCAGGCGCCGACACTAGCCCCGCCTCCAGCTCCCATTGGCTCGGGCCGCCGCCCGCCCTCAGTCCACCAATAGGCACGCCGGCCTCGCGTTCCCAGCGAGCTGTGCGGCAGGTCGCCTCGCCCTTATTGGCTCTCGCGGCAGCCCCGCCCCCACGCGCCCGCTGGCGGAAGTGCGTGCTGCGCTCCCGGGGGTGCGCGCCTAGCTTCGCTCGGGCGGACCGGGCGCTCGGAGCTGCGAGGCGCCCTGGAGGAGGCGGAGGCAGAGGCGGCGGCGCGGCCCGAGGCGCGTGAGGACGATGAGGACGAAGAGGAGGCGCTGCCGCACTCCGAGGCGGTGGACGTGTTCCAGGAGGGTCTCGCCATGGTGGTGCAGGACCCACTGCTCTGCGACCTGCCGATCCAGGTGCGCAGGGGCGTGGGCAGGGCCCGGTGCTGATGGGGCTGCGACCCGGAGGCCTGGCCAGGCACCTCTGGGTGTAAACCGGGGTCTTGACCTGGGCCGGGCCCAGAGTGGGGCAAGCCAGGCCCTCGCCTTGGGCGCTGAATTTAAAAGGCTCCAAAACACCTCCGGCAGCCAGGATGCTTGACTTTTTTTTTTCTTTTTCCGGAAATACGTGACATTTTAATACAGTATGTTTATAACTCAGGTTGGTGTAAAAAAGCCTATGGCAAACAAAATAATAAAGACTATGTCAGTATTACTGGGTTTTCCCATCTCAAACTTCACTGTTATTTTGTCCATCGTGCAGTTTAACTTCTGTTTTCTTAAAAATTTGTATTACTGCCCTGACCGGTTTGGCTCAATGGATAGAGCATTGGCCTGCAGACTAAAGGGTCCCTGGTTCGATTCCTGTCAAGGGCATGTACCTTGATTTCGGGCACATCCCCAGTAGGGGGTGTGCAGGAGGCAGCTGATCGATGTTTCTCTCTCATTGATGTTTCTAGCTCTCTATCCCTCTCCCTTCCTCTCTATAAAAAAGCAATAAAAAAATATATATCTTTTAAAAATTGTCCGGGACCGGTTTGGCTCAGTGGATGGAGCGTCGGCCTGCGGTCTGAGGGGTCCCAGGTTCGATTCCGGTCCAGGGCATGTACCTTGGTTGCGGGCACATCCCCAGTGGGGAGTGTGCAAGAGGCAGCTGGTCGGTGCTTCTCTCTCATTGACGTTTCTAACTCTCTGTCCCTCTCAATTCCTCTCTGTGTAAAATCAATAAAATATATTTTTTTAAAAATTGTATTACAACGTTTGGTATTGCACTCCTGCCAAAACCTTGTCCTGAGGCCCTGGTTTGGGTCCTGATTGGTGATTGGGGCTCAGTATGAAGGGATAAGCACAGTGTTCCTCCTACCCAATCCTGGAGTGAGAGGATCCAGGGCTGTTGGTTCTTGCCTGTTTCATCTTTTTTTTTTAAATATATATTTTATTGATTTTTTACAGAGAGGAGGAGAGAGGGATAGAGCTAGAAAGGTCGATGAGAGAGAAACATCGACCAGCTGCCTCTTGCACACCGCCTACCGAGGATGTGCCCGCAACCAATGTACATGCCCTTGACCGGAATTGAACTCAGGACCCTTCAGTCCGCAGACCGACGCTCTACCGCTGAGCCAAACCGGCTTCGGCTCTTGCCTGTTTCTATGTTCCTTTCTTCTAAGCTTCTGTCTGCTTTGGACTTTATTTTTTTTTTAATATATTTTTTATTGATTTTATACAGAGAGGAAAGGAGAGAGATAGAGAGTTAGAAACATTGATGAGAGAGAGTCATCGATCAGCTGCCTCTTGCACACCCCCTACTGGGGATATGCCCGCAACCAAGGTACATGCCCTTGACCGGAATCGAACCTGGGACCCTCCAGTCCCCAAGCTGACGCTCTATCCACTGAGCCAAACCAGTCCCGGCATGCTTTGGACTTTAAATAGAAAATATGGATGACACATGAGATCAAGGTGCTAAAATCCTGGGAAGCCCTAATGTGTAAGCAAGAATCCCTCCCCGTTCTTGTCCTTCCTAAAACATGGCACCCCATTTTGGACACTCTCAGCTTATTCCTTGGTGTTGTTTGGGGTGTTAAAGGGCCAGGCACTCACCTCCCCCCTTGGTCTTTCCTAGGTTACTTTGGAAGAGGTCAATTCCCAAATCGCCCTGGAATATGGCCAAGCAATGACCGTCCGAGTGTGCAAGATGGATGGAGAAGTCATGCGTAAGTGCTGCCCTCCTCCCTCAGGCCAGGCGGGCTGAGCTGCCACGAGCTGGTCAGTGGAATGCCGAGCGGCCACCCACAAGCCCATCTGCCTGGGCTTGAGCCTCAGTCGCCTTAAACGAGGCTCGACAGGGCTTCTGGGTTCCTCCCAACCGCCCGAGGCCGTGGCCGTGGGGCCTTCTCTCACGGGGCCCCTTGTTGCAGCGGTGGTGGTGGTGCAGAACGCCACGGTGCTGGACCTGAAGAAGGCCATCCAGAGATACGTGCAGCTCAAGCAGGAGCGCGAAGGGGGCATCCAGCACATCAGCTGGTAGGTGGAGCCGCGCTCCTTGCAGCCCTCTGGGAGGATGGTGCGGGACTCCGCAGGAGCTCCGCCCGACCTGTGCTTCTTAACCACCTGGTCTGGGCTACCGCATACGGACTGCAGCGAAGAGCCAGCTCCCTGTCACAGCCCTTCAGACAGGGCTGGCGCTCTCTGCTGAGGAGCTAGGGGCTTCCCTTCTCCCACAGCTTCTGCTAGTGGCCCCCCGTCACGCCGCTCCCCCTGCTCACGGCGCCCCCGAATCCCTCCCGTGCAGGTCCTATGTGTGGAGGACGTACCACCTAACCTCTGCGGGAGAGAAGCTCGCGGAGGACAGGAAAAAGCTCCGAGAGTGAGTTCAGAGGGAAGAAGGGCGGAGGTGGAAGGTGTGGCCTGTGGGAGGCGGGCCCCGCCCCGCCTTGCGTCCTGCGCACCACACTCGTCCCACCTGTTCTGTCTTGGTTCCTCACAAGCCTCAGGTGAGGAGTCGCAGACAGAGCCTTCGGCAGTGAGATACTTTATTCTCCTCCTTCTCTTTCAGCTACGGGATCCGGAATCGGGACGAGGTGTCCTTCATCAAAAAACTGAGGCAGAAATGACCCTCCAAACAAGGACTCGGCCGGCGGCCACGCTCCTCCCCGGCAGGAGGAAGCCTCGGGCGCTGTCCCCTCCTCACGGGAGAGTGTTGAGATGGACTCGCCCTGCTGTGCTCAGCTGGAACCGCCCGTGTGAACCCTGGGCCTGGGGAGTGGGACTGGGTGAGCCAGTGCTCAAGGCCCAAGTTTGACCCCTGCTGGGCCCAAACATCCCACCGGCGGTGGGGCTGGCCCTCTGTACGGAATAAATCTCTCTGCTTTCTAGTTTGAAAAGTCAAAAGGCCACAGTCCCGGGACATGAGGGCCTGGCGCAGCCCCATCATGGGAGGCGAGGGGCAGAGAATGGCCTAAGTCTGATGCCACTCGGCCCTGTTACTATTACTATTACAACGGCGGAGCAGCTGGCTTCTGCACCTGCTTGTGGAGAAATAGCCTGGTGCGAGCACAGCCGTGGACAGGCCTCCGGCCTCCCCACAGGGTCATCTTCCTCCGGGCCAGGGGCAGGGAAAATCCAGCTCCCGAATTTGACAGCCTGCCCCCAACTCCTTCCCCTCCCCCCCTCCCCCTCCTCTTCCTCCTCCTCTTTCTCCCCCTCCACCTCCTCTTCTTCTCCCACTTCCACCTCTTCCACTATCCCGGCACTGGCAAGGGGCCCTTGGCGGAGCTACCTGCCTTCGCACAAGAAGTACCGCTACTGACGTCACAGGGGCCTCCAGCCCGCCACCCTGCTGCCTCCTGCTGGCCGCACCACGCCCACACTTGCACCACAGGGTAAACTGCCGCCTGCTTTCCACACCTGCTCACTGCACCCTGGCCCCTGAGACACCTGATCTACCCGGGATCACGTCCCCTCCCGGCTCCCGGCTCCCGGCAGGGGAGGTGGCCTGGGGCCGGCACTGGTGTCGGGGCCCTGGTAAGTGTGTGCGGGGAAATGTGGCCCCTCATCCTGGGTCTTAAGGAAAGGGGGCAGCGTGGGGCCACCTGGCTTGCGGACCTCACCGGGGGAGGCGTCTGAGACACTTCCTGTCGGGAAGGAGGAGGCAGCTCTGGTCACGTTAGTGGCAGCTAAAACGCTCCCAGTCCATTTATTGGCCACATCATAAGGTGGTCGTCAGGAGACTAGTTAGAAGGTAATCTCGGGAACTAGTGTAATAAATGCCCGGAAGTAAGAGAGGATCCACGGTCTGCGTCCAGGACTCGGCGGGGCGTCCCGGAGCCTGCAGACGGTCTGCCTGGCTCCAGCCCGCTGGAGGCCCGGCCCCCGCACCCCGCTCAGTGGAGCTGGGCGTCCAGCTCGTACTTCTCGCAGAACTTGTCGGTGAAGGGGATGCAGGTGAGGAACTCGCACCACTCGCAGCGCACCGGGTAGAAGTAGAAGAGGACCACCAGGCCGGCCAGCAGGCCCAGGAACACCACCTGGAAGACGATGATCTGGCAGCGCTTCCGGTACAGGTCGAACCTGCCGAAGCTGATGTAGGGCAGGAAGGCGAAGGAGAGGAAGAGGCCGCTGATGAAGCCCGAGATGTGGGCGAAGTTGTCGATCCAGGGCAGCAGCCCGAAGGTGAAGAGGAAGAGCACCACCGCCAGCAGCTTGAAGAAGGCGCGCCAGGGCCGCGCCAGGATCTGCCAGCTCTGGAAGAGCTCCACGAAGAGGCAGGCCAGGATGCCAAACTGCGAGCCGGCCGGGCCCACCTGGGGGGGAGGGGGTGCTGAGCAGGACCCCTGGACCCACCGCCGCCCCGCCTCACGGCCCGGAGCGAAGCAGGACTGAGGAGCCGAGCGGAGACGCTCCGGGGCCGGGTCCCGGGGCGGCCTTACCTCTGCCCGGTACGGCAGGAAAATGGCACTGGCCAGGTTCCCAGTGACGCCACTCAGCAGGTAGATGATGGCTATGCGGTGCCAGCCTGCCAGCTTCTCCAGGTCCCGCAGGACGGTCATCTGGAAGCAGACGGACACCAGGCAGTGCAGGATGCTGTGGAGGGAGGGAGAGGGGGACACTCAGCCGGGAAGGCCTCCCACCACCCCCTGGCCAGCCACTCCTGGGTCCCCGAAACCACCCAGCCCTCGGCCCGCCTGGTGTCACTTGCCCAGCGTGCAAGAAGAGGGACAGCCACAGGCGGTAGAACTGGTCGGGCACCTCGGGGTTGAGGAAGGGCAGGAGCCCGCACACGTCATCCATGCAGTGCACCTGCGCAGAGTGGCCCGTCAGCACGCTCTGAGGCCGGGGGCGAGGGGACGCACACACGCTGGAGGCCTACCTGAGAGCAGAGCGTGGCCTCCTCGTGGAAGTAGCCCCTCATGAAGTCACAGTACTCCCGGGAGGTGATCTCACACCTGCAAGGTGGAGCCCGGCGTGGGGACGTGCAGAGGGGCCGGGCACAGGCGCCTGGCTCCACCAGCCAGGCCTGGGCCTCAGCCCCCTCGCCCATCTTGGTTGGCCCTGGATAAGCCCAGAGCCTTTCTCACCCCACACCCCTTCGTATCCGCCTATTCCAGGACCCGGAGGAGGGCCGAGCTCACCCACCTGCCCTTGGTGCCGATGCAGCAGGGCCGGCCCGTGATGGCGCAGTCCATGTGGGGGTGGTTGGTGTGGTTCCCGGCGCTGCTTTTGGTGCAGATCTGGATCACAGAGGGGATGAGTTGGGCCGGAGCCTCCTCCAGCCCTGTGCCCCCACACCGTGCCCCGGGGACGGGCAGAGATGGACAGGCTCCGACAGTAGAAAGCAGGCCCTGACTGAGCCTCAGCTTTCCCATCTGTCAAACGGAAATTATGTCATCGGACCTCTCAGATCTCCACCAGGTTCTGCTCTGACTACCTGCTCAGAAGCAGGGGGTGGAGGGGCCGGCCAGGCAAAGGCCAGAGGCACTGCGCCTGGAAACAGGTGGCCCCATGATGGGCGTCTTGGTATCACAAACGAGAGAAGTGTGTGTTTCCCCCCCATAATGAGGGTGACACCCCCCCCCCCCCCCCCGCAAAGCCAACCATCTACCCCAGCTCACCGGCCACTTGGTGATGTCATCTGGCCACTCATGGGGGTCCTCGGAGGAGGGCTCATCACACACCCTGCAGGAGCCCAGTGTGCGGTCAGACCCCGCTCTGGGCCCTTCCGCCCAGCCCCACAAGGGGCTACACCTTTCCCCCCACTTCCCAGGGAGGCAAGAGCGGGGCCAGCGGGACTGACCTGGGGTCCTGGTGACAGACAGAGCCAAACTGCCTCTTGTGGCCCGCCAGGTCGGGAGCGCTGGGATGAGAGGGCCACTTCACCCACACCGCCAGCGTGGACTGCGGGGAGAGTGTCAGTGCCGTCAGAGCCCACCCTTCTCACAACAGTCTCCAGAAGGCAGGAGTCCACAGCAAAACCACAGAGAGCCCCCTGAGCCCACAACCCGAAACCTACCCATGCACACTCTGGGAATGTGTGTGCACGTGCGAATGTTTACTGTAAGCTCAAGAGCATCATTCCTATTAGCATAAAATTAAAAACCACCAGTGTCCAAAACCAGGGACTGGCATAAACTTTGGTACCTCCTCCTGAAATGATGTAATGAAAACTTGGGATTTTTTTTGTGTGTGTGTAATTGTTTAGTGTGTGTGTGGGGGGGGGGGGGAATAAGGCAATACCACTTAAGTAAATTCAAGATATGCCCCAAAACAAGACACACAGAAAGCACACCCAAGTCAGAGAGGTCGCAATGGCTGTCTAGCAGTGTTTCCCAAAGTGTGGTACGCGTCCCCCAAGGGGTACAGGAAGAGTTTGGTGGGGGTACGCACTGCACCGTGCTTAGCTGAGCCTAATTCTACGTTCTCATGAGTACGAGGGGTACTCAGCGTTACGAAAATTATAGAAGGGATACACATATGTCAGAAGTTTGGGAAACACTCTACGGGATGGGGGGAGCTGGGGGATGAGAGGTAATGAATGAATGACGAGAGGGACCTTGCACAGAGGCTGGTGTCATGTGCCAAGACAGATAAAGGATAACGGGCCCCATCTGAAGTCCCAGCACAGCCACATCACGGGGCGCAGACGGGGGCTGCCTGCGGGCGGGCACCCACCGAGCACTCCTCCTCCGACGTCTGCACGCAGCCCGACCGGTCGTTGCGCACGCAGCAGGCCGAGTGCTTCTCGCGCTCCCGGGCGGCGCGGATGAGGCTGTCCACCTGCGGGTCCTGGCGCATGCAGGGCGAGAACTTGGCGCCCAGGTGGATGAGCGCCTCCTGCGGGGAGCGAGCGGGTGTGCCGCTGAGGCCGGGCCCCTGCCGGCGCGGGGTCCTCCTCGTCCCACCGCCCTGCCGCCCCACTCACCGAGCTGGGCCCGATCCAGAAGTTCTCCTGCTGCACATACTTGACGTTCTCATAGACCCCGCGGTTCCGCAGCACCTGGGGGGGTGGGGTGGGGGGAGAGGTCAGAGGCCGCCCACCCCAGCCCTTTCCTCCCTAAGCGGGGAGGAGGGCGTCCGGAGCCCAGACTCCGCCGGCCTCGGCGCGGGGAGGGCGCGGGGCTCACCGAGTCCACGGTCTCGTGCTGCGAGAAGCCCACGGGCGCGATGCCGTAGATGCACACGGCGAGGATGGTGACGAGTGAGTGCACGAAGGTGAGCCAGTAGGTGAAGAAGGGCCTGCGGCGGGGGCGGCAGCAGAGGTGGGGGCTCCGACTGGGCCCCCCCACCCCCGGCCCGGAGCCCCGCCCGCCGTGAGGCACCCCCGCCGCGCCCACCTGTGGTCATCCATGTCCTCGATCTGGCGCTTGACGTAGCTGTCGATGCGCTTGCGGTAGGTGCGGTTGGTGAGGCGGCCCACCATGCCCAGCCCGTACGGCCGCTTCTCCCGGGCGAAGAACCTGCGCACCGGCATGGCGATGCGCTGGCCGCGCCGCTGCCCCGCGGCGCTCACCACCTCCTGCCGCAGCCGCACCTTGGGCTGCGGGGCCGCCGCGCCCTCCTTCTGCTTCCGCCAGCCGCGCTCCAGGGGCCTGGTGGGGGGCGGGGGGGGGCACAGTCACCTCCCGCCCCAGCCGGTCCGCTCCCAGGCGGAGGTGAGACGCTGGGCACCCGCCCCATCACCGGTGAAGAGCAATCCGGAGCCCCTCCAGATGGCGGGGAGGGGGCCAGACCTGTGAGCGGCCCCCGGCCTCCCCGCTGCATCCGACCAGCCGAGGGCTCTGGGGCCGCGCTCCTGGTCTGCAGGGGGCCTGGGTCCCCGCACAGGAGCCATGTAGACCCCTGCCCTCAGCCCCCAGGCGGTCCTGCCCCGGGGCCCCCGCTGCTCCTGCCCTCGGACCCCCCTCCCTGCGCCCTCGCCGCCGCCACTCACATCATCAGGTGGCTGCGCTCCAGCTCCGAGCGGTCCAGGGCGCCGCCCGTGAGGTCCGCCTGGTCCGGCGCCTTCTCCCAGTCCTTGAGCGCCGCCTCCGAGGGGGACTCGAACACCTCGTCTGGGTACGTGGACAGCTCCTCGTGGAGGACACCTTCCTGAGCAAACACGCGTGGTCAGCGCGAAGGCACGGACGGAGGACGGAGGCTGGAGGGCATGGAGGCCCCGCGGCCGGCCTCTCTTACCCGGGCGAAGAAGGACGTGTCCAGCTCCTCGGGGAAGTCCGCCGTGTCCTCCTCCAGGAAGCTGGCGGGGGTGAAGCTGCGGCGCTGCGCCCGGCGCAGGGTGCCGTCCCGCCCGGAGCGCCCCTGCCGGCGAGGGGGTGAGCGTGCGGCCCGCCGCGGGGTCCCCCCGCTGGCCCCCTGCCCGGCCCTGCGCCCACCTTCACCAGCGCCGCGGCCGCGCGGAAGCTCATCTTGGCCACAGACTCACGCTTGCGCCTCCGCGGGAGCCGGTTGAAGCCTGAGCGGGAGCTGGAGAAGGAGCAGAGGGAGGCGGCGCCGGGGGTGACGGGCGTGTGCGGGGTGCTCAGGCCGTCCGCGGTGTCATCCGCCATGCGGAAGGCCCGGCCCCGGGCCAGGGGGTCTATGATCTAGTGGAGGGGAGGAGACGCAGGAGTGGGGGGGCTAGGTCGTCACCCCGAAGCTCCTTCCCCGCCTTGTGGAGAACACAGCGGGTACCTGCACAGCGATGGGTACCACCCCCCACCGTACCGCACCCACAGGCGTCCCTCTCCCCACCTGCTGTTCACCCCGGGGTGCTCTCCCATCCAGAGCTGGCCCGGTGGTACATCCCAGCCCCCTTCCCAGACAGTGTCTGAGGTGTCTTTACGGGACACCTGACCCTCCTCCCAGACCATGAGCTCCCAGGGACCTCCTTGGCTCCGGCTGGCTGTGTCCCCAGCCCCAGCCCAGGGAAGCAGAGAGGGAGGCCTTCGGGGGCCGCAGGGGGCGGGCATACCTTCTGCATGCCCAGCTGGCATGGCCCCACATACAGCGGCGGGGGCGTCTCCGTGCTGGTGAGCGACACGTTGTCCTGGCTGGGCAGGTCCAGCTCCCGGATGACCTGGGGCTTCAGCTTCCCGTAGCGCTGGCTGCAGTGGCGGATGCTCTTGCGCTGCCACTTCTGGGTGCTGTCACTGTCCTTGCTCACTCCGAACCAGTCCGCGGTGCCCCTGCCGTGGGAGGGACTCAGCCGGGGGGCGCCGGCCCTCACCCCTCCCAGCGGGGGCCCCAGAGCCCTCCTCCTGGGCAGCATGCTCCACCCCACGCCTCCGGTCACTCCAGGATCTGGGGTCCAGTGGGCTGGGTCCAGTGAAGAGGATGCGTGGGTTCCAGCCCTGGCCACCCCCTAACGCTGAGCCAACTCCCAATGCCCACGAGAACGGCAGGTAACAGGCCTGTCCGGGTGAGTCTTTTACCCGGACTCACACCCCATCCCTGAGAGGGGGTGTGTGGGGAGACACTGAATCCAGAGACGGTGCTCAGAGCTCAGCCCTCCGCTCAGCCAGAGAGCTCCGCCCTGGGCAGCAGTTTGACCTTTAACACCACAGAACCCAACACATGGGAGATGCAAGCCCAGGCAGGTTGCCCACAGCCCTCGGACATGCAAGCAACACACTGCCAACGCCCGCTGTGAGGAGCCCAGGGGATGCACACCGTGCTGGCAGCTGCCAAGAGGTCCCAAGCCATGCACGTGCCAGGCCAGCCCATGCTCACACACTCACACCCGCAAGTACCTGAGCAGGGACCGCGAGAGGGACCGGCGCTGAGGGAGGGCCCTGCGGGCTGCAGGGGAGCCCAAGAGGGGCAGCGTGTGGACACGCCCAAAGCGCACCTGTCGGCTGTTCGGGGACCAGAGCATTGAGGTGGGGGAGACAGAGAAGGAGAGAGCAAGTGCTGGGGGAGCAGAGAAGGGTGGCAGGTGAGAGGGGTCGGTCCCCCAGAGCAGGAGGGGGGAGGGTGACGTGGGGAACAAGACCAAGGAGAAAGCTGGGACAGGAGAGGCCCTGCCCTGCTCCCAGCCTCGGCGGCACCCAAAGAGGAGCCTGTATGCCTGCCTCTGGCCCCCCAGCCCCAGCCCGCACCCCGGAGCAGCCGGGGCAGGGCCAGTACCTGCGGATGGTCTGCGTGATGGATGTCTGCCGATGCAGCACCGGCCGCGGGGGCTCGTGGTAAGGCGAAGGGACGTGGGCGGTCTCAGCCGGCATGCTCACGCTCCGCAAGAAAGCCTGGCGTCTCGGGGGCTGGGTGACGGGGTCGTGGTGAGCGGGCTGGGCCGGATGGACCCACAGCCCATGCTGGCCAGGGCCGGCCGGCAGGGAGCCGGGATCCTCGGCCGCCACAGCCGCCGCCGCCGGCACCACGGCTGGGATGTCCAGCTTCAGCCAGGGGGGCTTCTTGCGCTGCAGGCTGCTCGTGCTGTCCCTGCGGGCCTCGCTCATGGTTCCGGGGGCAGCAAGGCGGGCCTGCGGGTGGCAGAGAAGGGTGGGAGGTGAGAGGTGTCTGAAGGTGCCTTGGGCCCAGACCCAGGAGTAAGGAGAAGCAGTGGTAACCCCATCAGGGTGGTCAAGATCCGGCTGCTGATGTCCTGTGTGCTCAGCACTGCCGCACGCACTCAGTCCCTGCTTTGTTCATCCTGGCAGACATTGCTGTCCACATGCCAGGTCCTCAGACAACGTAAATTCGTGTGACAAATACTGCAGCACCTACTATGAGTCACTCCTAAGTGCTTGGGACACATTAGTGGAGAAAAAGAAGAAACTAAAAACAGATAAAATCCCCACCTTCCTGGAGCTTACAGTCCAGATAAGCAATCTAAGTATATAAAAGCCCAAGTGATCAGCCTACTGGTAGCTATGACACACACTGACCACCAGGGGGCAGGCGCTCAATGCAGTAGCTGCCGAGCTACAGTGACTTGGCAGCTGCGGTTCTCCAGTGATGCAGAGGGAACCAGAGAGGAAGGAGCCCGATTCTGGGGTATGTCACCCGAGAACCACCCTCTCGCAATACGGGACCCCTCGGGGGATGTCGGAGAGCCGGTTTCAGCCCAATCCCTGCAGGCCAGGCCAAGAGACCTGGGCCTCTCGTGAATCTATAAGTAGGTATTTTGTTTACGGGTGCAAAGTGTGACAGGGACAAAATCAGCACATTACAGTTGCCGAGCACAGTGATGCCTCCTCCTTGTGAGGTGACATCTTAGCAAAGGCTTGAAGGAGGTGATCAAGTTAGCAAGGTTTGGGGGTGGGGGTGGGGGGGAGGAGGTGACAGGAGGAGGGGTTTGTTCCAGGCACAGGGAACAGCCAGAGCAGAGATCTGAGTGAGCCTGAGGGCACTGCCAGGTTGAGGAGCTCACCCATCCGCACATGGCACATCTGAGACCTCACCCTCTAACGGCCATGCCATCTGCTCCAGAGATAGAGGCTCTGCCTGCTATGCCCACAGGTGGGGTCTGCGAAGGCTCCAGGTCACAAAGGAGAGGCCACGTGGCTTCCCAGGGTCTGAGAGCTGTTGCCACAAACAGGAACCTCCTGAAAACCACCTGGGCACAGGCGCTGCCATGACCACCAGGGGGTGCCATGCGCCCATAAATACCAACAAAAAAGGCTCAGCCCTGGGAGGGCTGCCGGTCCAGCTTCAAACCTAAGAAGGAGACCCACCCCCAAACCTGTCGCTTAGGCGCAGGGTAAGGCCAGGCCCCAGAGCAGAGGCCCGGGCCGGATGTGAGCCGCCTCTGCCTGGCCTCCTAACCGTGAGGCAAAGGTCACAGGACCATGGCCGCCTCAGCACCCTGTGTCCCCCTATACAAAACGTCACTTTCAGGACAGATCCGAGCCTTCCTTCCCAAAGGACCACACAGGACCTGAAAACAGGGGATCCAAGAGTGAGAGGGTTCCCTGAGCACAATGGGGGACATGGACACCAGGGGAGTGGCTGAGCAATACCTAGGGCAGAGACTCCAACATTCCTCAGAGAGCTCCAGACCCCGACAGGTCTGTAACCCACCCACCAACACCCCTCCGAGCCTCCCTCCCAACTGCTCGGAGTAAATATAGAGGAAGTCCCGCCCGTACCTTAGAAGTACGGAAACGGAGGCCTGAAGAGGCCGGATGTGCCCAAAGGCACTTATTCACCATCACTGGGGACAGGCCTGGGATGCCGCTCACACCCAGTAGGAGACTGGACTTACACACAGAGGGACCAGGTCTGCGCTCAGAGCAGCTCTGGCTCTCGAGAGACGCGCTTGCTCAGGGAGGCAGGACGCCCCACCGACAGGGACAGGCCCAGGACGGTTCCCACAGGCCACTGTACTACCCAGACCAAAAACAGCCTGGACACTGCCCACAGCTCCTCCTGGCCCTGTGTCGACTGGGGCCAGGCCAGGATGTGGCTGGCAGCTCCTCCTGGCTTTATACCAAGCAGGGCTGGGCCCAAAATACTACTCAGTTCCTACTGCCTCTGCCCTGACCAGAGCCAGGACACAGCTCACAGATCCCATTGCCCCCTGTGTGACACTACTCACCACTCCTACCCAGTCAGGGACAGTCCCCGGGCACCTCACAGCTCCCACTTACGCTGCACCAACCAGGAGCCGGCTGGTGGGACGGAGTCCTTCAGGGATCCTCCTCTAGCTGACTCTGCACCCAGGGGTCTTTCCATTCATGCAGCCCCTGAGCCAAAGCCCTGTGCTCGGTCCTCACCCGTCTGGTACAGAGCAAGGGCTGAAGCACTTGTTTGCACATCACTGGATGCCTTCTGGGCACCCTGCCTATGCTGATCCTCACAGTGTGGGTCAGATGGATGGGGCCCTGCAGGGGTCGGAGGCAGGCAGTGGGGAATGGGGGGGAGACAGTGTCCAACATGAAGGCATCCTGAGAATGGGTCTCTCGGAATTGAACCAGGAGATGGGCACTCCTCACACCACAAACCCAGCCCAGACCCGTGTGTTCCCTGACAGGGTCAGCACCCGCCAGCCCTCCCTTCGCAGATCCCCCCGTTGGTGAGGCAGTGACTGGGAAGGGCAGCGCTGGCTCTCAAGCACTGGTGGCGGGATCTGGGACAATATCAGACAGACATGACCAGATAGGGGCTCCCGGAACCTGCAGTGCCCTGACAGCACCCCCAGGGTGCCCTCGGAGCCCGGTCAGGCCACGCCTGCCACACAGGGATCCAGGTGATGGGACCCCAGAGGTAATGCGGGACCCTGGGGGGCCTTGTGGGGAGAGACCAAGCCGGATGGGAGCCCCCTGAGCGTTTCAGGTGGGGCAGCTGCACTGGCTTCGGTGTGTCCCTGCCACCCAGCCCCCAAGTGCCTCAGGTAGCCTCAGTGTGCTCTCCTGGAAAACGGGCCGATACCACGGCGGAGCCATGGTGAGGCCCAGAGAGGAATGGTGCTGGGGACCCACAGGCTGGGTGCTGGGAGCGGGCCCTCCGTGCCTCCCCAGCAGGCCTGGCACTCCTGGGTGATCGGCTGGCTCTCCGCTCTGCAGTACAAGGCGTCTTTGCCAGCTTGTTGACTGTCTCACCCACCACACACATCCTTGACTCTCCATGGCTCCCCCTGCCCCCACGGCCTCTCCTGACACCTGGCCCCCTGCCATCCCAGGGCCCTGCCTCGCACGCACACGCACTCTGCCAACCCTCCAGCATGTCCCGGGGCCGCAGCCAGTCAGGCTGCCGCACCGGCCGCCCGGAGTCCTTCGCCGTGTGCTGTCCTCTCTGCCGGAGCACTGGGCACTCTGGGGCACAAGCTGGCAGGACCGGTCCCCGTGGTCTGGGTGATGGGGGAGGAGGGGACCGCATGCCCAGGTCAGAACAGCACAAAGAGGTGGAAGGGGGTGGGGAGCAGCACAGGGCGCGGCACAGGCCCACAGTCCGTCCAGGAACACAGGAGCCCCTCACGATGGAGGCACCGCTCCCTGCCGGCACACCCCGACCTCCCGGTGTCCCTTGCCCCCCTCAACTCCCTCCTGTGCGGGGGCAGAGGCAGGAGGGGGCTCTGTAACCCACGCAGCTGCAGAACGCCCAGCCTACCCTACCCCTGTGTGCCCAGTTCCCATCTGGGCTCCAGTGGGTAGGGTTCTCAGGGGGCTCCCCACTAGGACCCAAGGGTGTGGGGGAGGGCAGGCCCAGGCGGACAAAGAGTCGGGAGGGGAGGGCACGGTGCCCGCCAAGAGGAGACAGTGGCTCAGTGTCCAGCCTCCCCCGGGCGCACAGTGGGCTCTTGTTCCCAGCAGCCCCTCGTGGTGGAAATCCCGACAGCATCTCCGCTCTGCCGACCCCTCCGCGCGGGAGAAACCACAGTCAGGGGCAGCCTGCCGGCCGGGGTCACACAGCATCTGAGTCACTGGCCACACCCCCGCTGCCCACCCGGCCGGCCCGGCCCAGCAGGAGACACCCCAAGGGCAGCTGGGAGTAAAGCAAGGATTGCTGGCAAAGCAAATGCCAATGGCGGGGACCCAGCCCAGCAGGGGGCGCACAAAACCACACTGCACCCGAGGCCCTTCGAACAGCCAGGAGAAGTGAGGCTGAGGGAGGAGGGCCCAGTCACAGGGCCCCTGGGCTGCTTTAGCGGGACCTGCTGTAGCCATCGAGCCGAGGGCGGGTGGGGCGCAGGGGGAGGTCCCCCTGACCCCGGTTCCCGCTGGGGGGCTGACTAGGGGTCCTTCAGGCTGGCACTGTGCAAGGTGCAGGGGTACCTGCTCAAGAAGCAGAAAGGCTGGCGATGCCAGCTGGCTCCGGCTCCAGGGGGCATCCTGACGAGGCAGCCAAAGGACGGGGAGCCCAGGGTGAGGGGGCCGGAGCCTGCGCCAAGAGCGGGAGCCGCTGCGGGAACGGGGGACGGAACCCTCAGGATGCCGCCGGGAAGGCTCCGGCCCAGAGGCAGGAGGAGACCGGGAGAGGTTCCGGCCCGCCCAGGCCTGGCCGGCGGCCATGGCGATGTGAAGCTGGATCCTCAGGTGTGAGCAGCAGCCACCGCGGCCCTCCGGCCTTCCCCGCGCCCTCGCAGGACGATGCTGGCAGAGGTCGCTGAAGGCCAAGTGGATGATGGCCCAGCCCCAGGGCCAGACCTGCCAAGCCTGGGCTCCCGGTCCTGCCCAGCCCGGCCCCGGGAGCCGCCCACCACTGAGGTCAACTGGAGCAACGGGCCCCACCCGGGACACTTGCCCCGACGTGTCCCCAGCTCACCTGAGCACAGTCCCGGGAGAAGCCAGCTCCTCCAGCCTCCCCCCCGGAGCCCTGATCGCTGACCCCCACCCAGATCTCCCCGGGAGCGGGGACCAGCAGCTGCTGGCAGCCTGGAGTCCCCTCCTTCTCCACCACGTGCTCCTGGGCGGCAAAGTGAGGGCCACCGGTCTGAGCTTCCCATCATGGGAAGGACATGGGCAGACCCAACCCTCCCAGCTACCCCTCTACCTTTCTTGGAAGAAATGAGGTGCGGGGGCAGAGTGGGGGGGGGGGGGGCAGACAGGCCAATAGCCTGCGGGGCACCCTCTTCCCGTCAGAAGGAGGGCACGTCAAACCCTGCCTGCCCCTGTCACCGCCGCCTCCCATCACCCCAGAGGGGCATGCAGAGGCCAATAACAGGACCAGAGTCTTCCGCTCCAGGGGCCTGGCCTGGGAGGGTGGGACCAGGGCAGGAAAGGAAGCACCAGCCCTGGGTGGGAGGTACTGTCCCAGGCTCAGCGGGCATATACGGCCCAGGGGTTACCAACACCGGGATCAAGCCTCTAACCCCGCTGGGTCTGACAGAAGCAGATATGACCCAGGGATGGGGAGCACCGAGGCTCAGAGAGGTCAAAGGTCCCACCTGTGCATGCCACAGTCAGCAAGGGGTTAGGGGCAGGGACATAGCAATAGCAATTCCGGGCGTGACAATCCGGAGTCTCACGGGGTGAAATCAGCCCCTCAGACTGCAGGGAGAAGGTCCAGATCGCATCCACACGTCTGGTCACCAGGCAAAGCCCCCAGCAGAGACCACACGGTTCTCTCTGGTGCCCACACACGGTCAGGGCTTAGCTACACCGTCCCAGAGCACAGCGGCTGCTGGACAGTGCCGGAGAGGCCCCGAGGGGAAACCGAGTCCCCGGAGTCTGTGATCAGAGCAGAAATGGCTTCAGTAGCACTATCCTGACCACCTGCTTCAAACCAAAGATCCCTGACCGACCTGAATTATCACAGGCCTTGGAAGGGGATCGGTGTCCATCTTACAGATAAGGAAACAGGCTCAGAGAGCCAGTCAGTGCCCAGTGCTGATGCCCCTGGCTCCTGCAGCCTCTGAGGGGGTTTAAAGCCGGGGCCATGCCAGCCCAGGAGCTGGGTGCCTGCCTCGCCGGCCCTGCCACACCCCCAAAGGTGAGGGGCAGACCTCAGGGTTCCTCAGGGGGTGCGGGCTGTCAGGCCCCTCCTTGCCCTCACTCCACCTTCTGCCACCCGGAGCACCTCAGTTCAGGGGGGAGGAAGTCACCCACAAACACACCCAACCCAGAAAGCAGGCAGAAGCCAGGAATCCGATCCTTGGACAGAAAGTCGATCCCGTTACAGACACCAGAGAGAGGGAATCGGAGCTGGCATGGAGGAGCCCTTCACATCCGGGGAGAGCAGCAGTGGGGCGGCAGTGGGGGGTACCCTGAGCAGCAGTTGGAGCTGAGAAGACCCTAGGGGGACACAGGGGCCAGTCCCCACCATCCTCAGCTCCAAAAGGCAAGGAGACCTGGGTGATTCCCTCTGAACCAAGGGTGCCCCTAGAATGCATGCTCCCCAGGACAGAAGCCTGTCTGGCCAGCACTCTGAGGCCGGGTGAGGAGCGTGGGTCACAGCAACGCTCCAGGGCCACTGGCCTTGGGCAGCCCCTCTGTGCAGCGGGAGGCCCATCAGCTCCTGGAGGGTTCTGGGAAGGGGCCTGGGCCCTGACACCTTCACTCTGAGGCCACTTGACTCCTTAACCCCATACTGGCCCCTTTCCGGTTCTCAGGGAAAAGGACCCAGATAGCCCAGAGCAATTCCTGGTGGCAGGGGGCTCCGCCTCAGGAACCTCTTGGGCCCCAGCCAGCTGCCTGGTTCCCAACTTCCTCTCAACCTCTGGGTGGGGGGTAGGGGGCTGAGGTTGGTTCTATGGGGGTGGAAGGAACCCAGCATATAGCTGGGCCAAACCTGAAAAGCCAGTTTCATCCTGAATCTTCTCTGCCAGGAAGTCCCAAGAAGGGGGGGGGGGGGGGGGGGGAGAAAGAGGGGCGAGAATGGGGGCCTTTCCTGGCACAGAGCTAGAGGGCCTCCAGACCCAGGCCTCGCCCACCCAGCCAGACACACAGCACACAGCCCGAGCACACACATAGCAACTCTGGTCAAGAGCATCTGGGCCTTGGGCAGGCATAGCTGGGGGCCCCTGCCATTCCCCACAGACATGTCCCCAGCAGGTCAGCCAGCCAGGCCCCATCCCCTGCCCTCAGGAGCTGGGGCTCCTCCATCTCCCCAACTCCGCAGCCAAGGGAAGGCCTGCTTCAGGGCACCGGGTGGCCTCGGGCTCAGCCCTGGCTGCTCCTGGCCGCTGGGCACAGGGTAGGGTGTCTGTGGGAGTGTTCCCACGGCCCTGAGTTTCCGTGTTTACTGAGGGGGACACAGGGGCCAGTCTCCACCATCCCGAGCTCCACGGCTAATGTGACTCCCATCCCCAGGGAGCGCAGCTGGAACCGGGATGATCCCAGCAAGTTCCACCCTCCGAGCTGGAGTTTCAGCTTGGGAGACACCACCCACCGGCGGTGGCCGGGACGGAGAGCCTGCGGGGGGAGGGCGCGCCTCGGGGGAGCCCGGAGACGGCCCGCACTGGAGCCGCCGGCTCCCGGGACCCTCAGCTGTCGGGCGGGGGCTGGAGCCGCGCTGTCCGGCCGGGCAGCCCGCCGGGACGCGCTAATCCGGCCGCGGCTATTTTTGCGAGCGCCGGGCTGGAATCCGGGCTGGGCCGCTCCGCGGGCGGCCCGGGGAACTCCGGGCAGGAAAGTTCGGGCGCCTCGGGTGGGCACCGGCCCGGACCCCGGACCCGGGCCCCGATCGGCAGCCCGAAACCGACCAGGCTCCGGCCGCTCGGAGCGGCGCCGGCAGCGGCGTGCGGAGGACCGGCCCGCGCGCAGCGGATGTGGCTCCGGAGCCGCCCGGCCTGCGCCCCGCGCCCCGCGCCCCGCGCCCCCCGCCGCGCTCACTCACCGCCGCCGCCGCCCGGGGTCCTGGGGTCCTGGGCCTCGGGGAGGGGCCGCCGCCGCCGGCCGGGAGGGCTCCCGCGCCGAGTCCCCGCCCGCGCGCCCGCCCGCCCGTCCGGCCGGCCCGCCCGCCGGGAATGCCAGGGCGCGAGGGGCGTGCGCCGGGGGCGGGCCCGGAGGGGCGGCCGCTCTGACTCAGGGCTCTGGAATGCGCGGCCCGCCCGCCCGCCGTCACCTCCTCCGGGAAGCCGGCCGCGCTCCTCTCTCCCTGCTGGCTGCGGGTGCACCTGTGGCCGGGGCCGGGGGTCGTGAGCGCCGCCGCTCTGGACGGAGGACCTGGGGCCCAGCTAGACGGAGACTAACGGTCAACTGCAGACCTGGCTTCTCAGCCTCTCCCTCACCAGAGTGACTCCTGACCTTATCCTGCCTAGACTTGTGCTCCAGAAAGCCGGGGGGATGGGATAACATACGACAGTGTCCCTGGATGTCCTGTAACCAGACCAGGACATCCCCCAAAGCACACACTGACATCACCTACCTACACTCCCCCAGGCCCACATGAGCGCTCACGCTGTCTCTGCACACACTCACACTCATACACACCCGCTCATGTATTCATGCACACAGTCATGCTCGCATATTCATTCACACACACCTGTTCACACATTCACATACATGCACCTACTCTTACATACAACAAACACTGTCATGCCCACTCTCACATTTACACGTGTGCACATACCACATTAGACAATTCCACTCATGTGTGTACACACCCATGCACACCCACACTCACTAAAGGCAGGAGCAGAGTTCCCTGGCCTCTGCTCCCCACCAGGAACCTGCTCTCCCACAGGCACTGCCCGCCGGCCTGAGCCTACAGCTGAACCCCGGGAGCAGAGCGGCTGTGCAGCCTCTGGCGTCCACTCTGTGCTCCCGCCGTCAGGGCTCACCCACCGCCCTGGTGGGCTCATCCCTGCACTCTGAGCCACAAAATGGCCCATCTGCTCCCAGGCCAGTGGTCGGCAAACTCATTAGTCAACAGAGCCAAATATCAACAGGACTACGATTGAAATTTCTTTTGAGAGCCAAATTGTTTAAACGTAAACTTCTTCTAGCGCCACTTCTTCAAAAGAGACTTGCCCAGGCCGTGGTGTTTTGTGGAAGAGCCGGGCCAAAGAGCCGCATGTGGCTCGCGAGCTGCAGTTTGCTGACCACGGTCCTAGGCTAAGTCTGCTGGTGGGAATTCCCCAGCATTCCTTCCTCTCCCCTGACACTGAAGGAGTTGGTGAGTCCTCGTCACCCAAAGACCAGGGAATGGGGGAGGGTGCCGACAGCAGAGTGTAAGCAGGAGCTGGGAGTGGCGGAGGGGTGCAGACTCCCCTGGGTGCTTGTTGCTACAGTGGTGGTCTCCCTCTTTTCCTCCGAGAAAACAAAACTGGGGCCACCAGAAGTCAGAATACCAGGAGCACATAAGGCCCCGCAAGCCTCAGAGCGCCCACATGTGTGTCCACGGGCCCCTGGCTGGTCTGGGACCAGGGGGCACCTCCCTCTCTGTGCCCGCCGGCTGCCTGCACACGTCCAGCTGCTCCGTGGCTGCGCAGAAGGTGAAGCTGACAATGGGAGGTAGCAGCCACCTTACAGGTGGGCCGGCCGTCGCCTGGGCAAGGGACAGAGCCCTCTGGCTGCACCCTCACCCAAACCATGGAGCAGTGGTGGCTGCACGTTCCGGGTCCTCTGTGAGCACAGGCCTGTCAGCGTGATTCTTAGCTGCGGGGACACAGGGGGAGCTGCGGAGGGGCCAGGGGGCTCCTTCACAAGCGGAGGGAGGCGACTGCAGCTGCCCTGGGGACACAAGGCGAGAGGCGGCTGCCCAGTGCTAATGCCCATGGCTCCTGCTAATGCCCATGGCTCCTGCAGCCACACGTCAACCCTCCCTTGCCAGGCTCTCAGCCAGACAGGACGGTCTCTCCATGCCCAGCATTCTTGACCCCTGCCAGGGATAAACAGTCCCTGCCCACCAGACTGGGCTGGCAGAGTGCGCAGTGGCGTCCTCCTGGACTCCAGGGCCTGGGCTCCCCTCCAGGGCGTGTCATGGTTGGGCGTCCAGTCCTGGCAGGTCCCTTCCCGCAGTGGATGCTGCAGGGTGCCTCCCAGGCCGCTTCGCCACCCAGACGTTCGCCCACAGCTGCCAGGAGCCCCAGACGTAGCTGGCCCACAGCCAAGAGCCCCCTGAGGAGCACCCTTTACGCTCCCTCCCCGGAGAAGGTGGTCTGTGCTCCAGCAACAGACAAACGGCCTCCCCCACACTCGGGTTACCTCCCAAGGGCCCCTCCCTTCCCAAGCTCCACAGAAGCCTCCACTGCAAACCCTTGCTCCTCACAGGTGTGTCTCCCAAGGCAGGCCCCGTGTATTCTGGAAGGCAAACCCAGGAATCCAGGTTCTCTGCCCACCCCGGCCTCCTGAGCAGGGACCCTGGCATCAGGTAGTGTGAGCAGAGAGGGATCAACCCATGTGGGCTCAGGCCCGGACCTCGTCCACACGGACACACGTATGCACACACATCTGCTCTGCCTCATCTCTGCCCACTGCCTTCGCCCTGGTGGAGAAGCCCCTGCATGGAAACCTGCTCCCGGGCTCCCAGTCCCCTTTCCCCCAGCCCCGGAGAAACGAAATCAGCTGCAGCTGCCTAGCGTGGAGGTGGGTGGCTAGGATGGCTGGTGTCTGCCCCCCGCACCCCCGCCTCCATGGATGTGTACTTGACTCTGGGACCAGAGGGGCTGCGAGCCACTCTGGAATCCTCAGGTCAGCAGGCCAGTCCTGGGCTGGGCAGGGGGGGGAGGGAATGGAGGATCGTGGGACCAACCCCTGGCTATTTGAGGAGGTGGCCGAAATGGGCCCGGCCAGCCAGGGCCTGAGGTCACTAGCTATTTCTGAGGCAGCGCCCCTCCCTGTGTCTCAGGGGATGGCTAGGGGTCCAGTGAGTACCTGGGCCCGGGCCCAGCTGCATTGGCAGCACAGCCCAGGAAGGGAGGACTGGCCCACACACACCTCCTTCGCTGCCCTGCCTCCCCACTGGACTCTGACACCCCCTGCCCCTCAGCTCTTGCTTCGAGGTGACAGCGGCCGTCCATCCTGCCTCAGAGAGGGCACAGCCGGTGCTGGGGCTGGCGCTCTGGCCGCTGTGCTCACAGAGCAGCTCATCCTTTCTCTCCAGGCTCTGGTGGGCCCCCACAGGCCATGAGCTGGCCCAGCAGGGCACGGGGCAGCTCACCCCCGCACTGAGCCTCTTGGGAATATTGAGGAGGTCCTCTCCTCCAACTTCCACTGACATCCTCCCACAGGCCTCCCCCAGCCCGGCGCGGGGCACACTGGAGCCTGGGCAGGCCAGCTCCCTCCTCTGCCCAGCACCACCTTCTCTCCCTCCCAGCCAGCCTGTCCTGCAGGCCACAGCGGGAAGGCTTAACCCACCACTTCCAGCCTGCGGTGGGGCCTCAGACCACAAACCAGGAAGCGGGGGGCGGGAGGGAGGAGCCCCCCTCGCAGAGGTTGCGCAAGGCCCGGCCAAAACATCTGGAGAAGTGGGTTGCTGGCACTGGCCCTGCCTCGCCCCCTCCTGGGAGCCAGGGCTGCTCTCTAAGCCTCTCCCCTCGTCCTCAATGGAGATACAATAAAACACCCCTCTGGGAATGCGTGGACTCCCGGGATTTCTGCAACGACCAGGCACCATTTGTGAAATAAGAATAAACTCAAAGTGAGGAAGAGGGAGTGCGGAGGGAGGGAGGGAAGGAGAGAGGAAGAGAGGGAAGGAGGGAGGAAGAGAGGGAGGGAGGGAGGAGGGAGGGAGGGAGGAAGGAAGGAGGTCTGGGCACACAAGAAGGCTGAAGGGGGAGTCATTGTTTAGACAGAATGGCTGCGGGGATTGAGGAGGAAAAGAAAGGGTGGGAGTCACACCAGGCGGCCTGTGAGACACTGCCCACCCCCGGAAGCTGCTCCAGTGCCACAAGCCGCTGGGCGGTTTCCAGCGGACTGGAAGCTGCTGCCCTCCCTCCCCAGGAAGTCCTGGTTGGGGCCCTGGGATGAGAGTAGGAGGCTGAGGGCTGGAGTTCAGCCCTGGGCCGGTCAGAGGAGAAGGAACCGTTGGAGACCACGCTCCTCCCAGCTGGACTTGCCCTGAAATCGGGTTCCATGCTCATCTTAGGGCCCCAGTGACATGATTCACCCAGCACCCCACCCCACCCCATCTGACATTGCCTATGCCAGTTGCTCTCCCAGGCCCCATGGGCACGCCCTCGCAGGGCCAGGACAGAGGCAGGTGGCATAGGGGTTGGGACCTTGCCTGCCACCGCAGAGGGGTCCTGAGCACCCAGACAAACCCTAGCATGGCAGCGCGGAGGGGCGGCTCTGCTGGGCGTTAGGTGCTACCAGTGTGCCTTCTCGAGGCAGGGAAATTCCCCAGAACAATCCTCAGCCAAAAGAGCGACTACCCACAGCCCTTCCTTCCTCACTGCTGCTCTCCCCAGATTCCCCTTCTCCTCCCCCTTGGGGCACAAATCCAACTTTAGAGAGAATAGGCAGCTGGTGCTGGGACTGTGAAGAGGCATCGGAAGTGGAGGGCAGCGGCACTCCCCATGCTGCCCCTAGCTGCTGCCCTAGCACAGGCCTCAGGCTGCAGAGGAGGCTGGCCCTGCTCCAGCAGGCCCCCTTCAGCATCCTCGCGGTGGGAGGGGTCGGGGCTCCACTTCGGAGACAGAACCCCCGGGCGTGTGCTGACCCTGGCGCGGGCTTCCTGGGAGTCTGGCATCAGTCATTTCCACCCAGATGACTCCCTCCGAAGGCAGGTCCCAAGGACCCGGTCTCCCATAATCTCCACGTGCACCCCCTCCGTCTGCAGGCCCTTCTCCAAAGCCCTACACCTCCCACAGGGGCCCCTGGGGGTCCGGACAAGGCTCAGGACGGACCAGCCGGCTGGGGGCATCACCACCGGCTGGCGGAGGAGTGGGCTATCCGGCTACGAGAGGGGGGAGACGGAGGCAGGTCAATGGGGCTTTCTCCTCGCTCACTCCGCAGAGCCCAGCCCTCCGGGCCTATGTCCAGGACCGGAGGTGAGGCGCCGGG